ATGAGAAAGAAATGAATTATGGTATATCATGGTGTGACAGACAGGAAGAACAGCTCAGACACTCTTCCTCAGTCTTCATGAGTAACACTACACAACCCTCACCACTTCCTCTTGAGTTATTACGACAGAACTAAATTAAGATCTGTTTTTGTGAAAATGTTAACTACTATCAGAATGAAACACAAGCATGTCGGCCGTTTTAGTAAGAATTCAGGAATTTGCACAAGTGAAAACACAGCTCATTCATGCCAGGCAAAAGTAAGGCAGTGACTTAATTTCTAAAGCATTCTGACTGATAAGTGATGCTAACTCTTTGCAAAGATTAGATACAGAATGGATTATTTATCCTACATCTTATAGCAATAATAAAACATTTACAGTTTTAGCCATGGCAGAAACCAGAAATTCAACTTCAGAGATCATTATAAGGCTCAGCTTTAAAGGTTTTTTTGATGGGCTTTTTTCGACACCAGTTTTAATAAAGGTCATGGCTGTCTTGGGAGCAGAACATACCTTGTTTAATAGCACAAAAAATACAGAAGGGCAAAAGATAATCATATGATTTACACAACACTATCTTCATTTGTTCACTTGCCCAGATCTACTGTATGTCTGCACTACACAAAGGACAGGGTTATTTAATAGTGCACCCACTGGCAAGCAGTTCTCTGAATTACAGAGCTTCATGCTCATACACCACTAACCCCAGATTACTGTAGGATGCTAGGTACAAAAAGCCCTTTATGCATTTCTGATTAAAATGCTAAGCTTATTCTAGACACCCTTAATGCATATTAATCAAAGTACAACAGTACAGCAGAACAACTGAACTATTTAAAGGTCTGTCAGTGCAACCACACACATGCTGTTGCCTAAAATTAAAGCGATTCAGCTTTATAAATCAAAGCAAAGTGAGAGAAAGAGGACATTTTAATAGAAGATCACCAAAATCTATAGACCAATTCTTAGAGTTGTTCCCTGATAGACATACAATGGTCAAGTGAATGACAAAATTACACTCATATTGAACAGTGGAAATTCACAGGGGAAACAAATACAGTTAAAAGATACAATTTTTCACATTGCTGTTTGGAGTCTAGCATTTAGTACTGGTAAATGGCATTAGTATATTGCTTTCTAACTGGAGATATTATGGCATCTTTTAACATATTCAAAGCTAGCCACACATTTGAATGTAACACCTTATAGACAGACAAACAGTTGTTTGGCACCTCTTCTTCTGTCCGGACAAACGCACGCTGGGATGATAAGGCAAGCACTGCATAAGTGCCTCTATGGGTCACAACAGTCAGAGAATGGGAATTTATGGTTCATCTCATGCTTGCCATCACCTTCTCAAAGAAGTGGGATCCCTGTTCCAGGTCCATTTTGCTTTTCATTATGTTTTTGGAAAAACAAATAGAGACTTCAGACAAAAACATTTCAAACATTACAGGAAGAATTCACACTAAACCTTACATTTATTTCGATAACAGAATGCTGCATCTCCCACCACAGGCAAATTCCTCTGAAAAGTAAAACAAAAGCATAAATCAAACACTAATGAGGTCTGACGTCCATGTCCACTGAGAGCCCCAAGCAACTGGCTCTCTATTGATCTGTTTTGTAGAAACATTATAGCTTTCTAGGGACTATTTTAAAATGTGATAGAGTGATAACATGACTAGGAATCAATACAATTTATTTTTCCTTTTCTAAACTTCCTGTATTATTTAACATGGTACACAAACATCCCCCTGATAAAACTATCCTGAAAGTACGACACAGCAGTTGGAAAAACAGTTACCAGTTTCATCACATACACTTTAATCAGCTCTTGTTCTTAATTGATTTTTTTCCAGCCTCTGGTGCAATAGCTTAATGCCACCCACAAATATGACAATCAACAGGTAACGAAATAACTGAGGCAAAAGCCTTTTAACACTTGGTCCCACCTCACTGCAACCTTGTACTCGTCTTCCCAGATTCATATCACCTCTTCAGTGTTCACCAGCACCTGCAGACAGCACCAATACACACCCGCAGAGCATATTTTCATTGACCGGTTCCACTCAGTGTTAAAAATATGCTATTATGTTCGCATGATGCTGTCTCTCTTAGGAAATATTTTCTATATTTTCCCTCCAAAAGTTTGTAAATGTTATTATATGCAAGCAAGGAGCAGGTTGCCAAGGTTAGAAACACTGTGTATTTGTTGCTGTACTAATCTTCGTGCCAATTGTGGAATACTTAATCAGGCAAAGCAGCCAGGGTCATAGAAAAGATGTCAGAATTTACTACACAAAGGATCTTGTAATGGTTTGACAACAAACACTACTGTCAAATGAAGCAATTTCACATGTACTACACTAATAAAATAATATACTACTGACAGACCAAAAATAAAAGACGTTGCTTAGGCTTTATAGTTACTGGCTAACTTAATTCTTCTTTATTTAATTAATGCTAATAAAGAATCTATCTTAATTAATTCTGCTAAGGTAAAGACTATCATCCCTAGCCATGGAATAAATTAATCTTATACTGTCAAACAAGCAAATAAAACAACTTTGCTATGCTCATCACATACTCTGCCAAAACCCCTTGAAAGTCTTTGTAACACTTTTTTTTTTAGTTTGTTAAAGCACCATCTGAGACAATGTCATTATACCTCCTGACAGTTAAACTAAAGCTCTGTTATTTTTTTTGCAGTGGATCTTGGACAGGAGTCAAGTGTAGGTTTCTACTCAAGGCAAAAAGTCATAGATATGATTTTTAAAAAAAGCTCAAGCACTATCTCACACATTCTCTGCCAAGGACTCACTGCTAATTGGACAGTTTCTATAAAGCACATGTATATTTTTGTCCTCTGGCCTGCATTCAAGCACCTTATAAGTCAGTGATTATGCCAAGACAACATTTTGCAACTTGTCTTTATATAGGAGAAAGGATTTCTGACATGTATTAGTATACTTTAGATATACTTAAATAAGCAGAAGAGGAATGTATAATATTTGGTTCTTTTAAGCCGTTAAGAAGGTAGAAAGTTATGCCATTCAATTCAGAGATTCGGAGAATCCAAACATTAGTACCTAGGACCCGTCATAAAATCATACAAGCTCTATTCAATGATGAACCTGCATTAGACCACAAAAATGCAGGATGCAATTTACCATTAAACTTCCAGGTGACGATTAATTTGTGCAAGAGGTAAAAAAAAACTTCCTTTGTTTTTAAGATGCTGGCAATATATTGTAGCAAGCATAAATGAACATTCTGCCATAACCTGCTTAGGTTAAGGGCACTGTTTACAAAAACTACAAGGAATTTGTTTAGGCAAAATAATTATCCACAATTGGATGACAAACTGACAACTGAATTATGTACATTGACAAATAGCACCTATATTTCCATACAGTTTGTTATCTGTGCTTTAGCATCTGGACAATCACAACTTCAACAGTTTTTGAAGGGTCAAACAAAGATCTCTAACCAGGTGGAAAAAGAAGTACTATTTTAAAATCACAGTGTTCTTACCAAGATGCTGGAGAAACAAGCTCACACAAATACACAAAGATAACTTTGTAACAAAGTAACTTGTAGCAATTCCTGTAATTGGTTGTTGATTCCTATGTAATGGCTGTTGCAAAGAATGACCGTTATAAACACTGCATATGGTGACTAAAAAAAACAAACAAGAAAGGACATACAGTTTTCATACTTCATATACTCTTTAGGATTGGCTAAAATGACACAAATAATACAAGTTTTGTACTCAATGTACAGGTGATACATTTCAAAACATTCATTTTTAGCTACAAAAGAGTTTACAGAAGATTTGAGTTTAAATTCCCATACCTCTTTCATGCCTAAACTTGTTATAACTTAAGCCAAGAATCCAGCAAATATTTCAGAAATGTAATAGAAGACTTTAACAGTACAACTGTCATTATAAACCAGAGTTCAACCTGGGCTAACAAAGAACTTGCAAGGGCTATAATTTGATCACTTAGACGACTATAAGGCCATCACAGTGTTAGTCCTATGCCAGAAAGTCTGGCAGAATTACCTCAACACACTTTCGAACTGTCCTGAAACCAAACTGAATACTTTGAAAACCCTCATTCAATCCCTATTCAGCTTTATAGACAGATCATTGCAGAACAACAACTCTCAACATCACACAGCAGGATAAAAGGCTCATCCCTTGAGTCATACAGTACAGTATTTGCGTTACAGCTCTACAAATAAAACGTACTATAGAACACGGTCTGTTAATGGACAACCCTCTAGCGTGAGGTCTAATACCAATACACCTAAACGAAGTCCATCAGAAATTAAAGTTTGAATGATGCAGCCCGGAGCATTCAGAATGAATGTATCATTAGGTATAATTGTTCATAACTTAATTACAAATACCATTGACTCTAGGGCTCATAAAGTCAACTGTTAGCCTCGAAGGTCTTATTGTAATGGTAAAATGTTTATACTCTCTTCAGAAGACAGCTTCTCAGGGTAGTCCAGCTGCAGAAACTGCGCTATATGTGTATCAATACGATTTCCAATACGTACAATTATGGTTTTAAATAGATATTCATTGTTTTTAAAGACAATAAACTTCATTCATATGCCATTAACTTATCTAAACATGTCTAAAACAGGTACCAGATGAAAACAATATTTATTAAATACACATTAAAAACGACTTTCCAGTCCCACTTACCTGGGACAGCCAGTTCATTATTGAACATGGTCTTCTGCCTAGGTAAAGCAGATGTAACAATATACAGGTACTTCAGCTGTAATACGATAGCTCTAGAAAAATCACACCTTAATTTTTTATGACCAAAGGCTATGTAGAACAGAAGCTAGACTCGTCACGTTTTTGAATATATGTAATTCGTTTCAAATATGTTTGTCTGTCAAAAGTCCAAAAACTCAATAATGTCATGCGTGATTACAACGCAAATACAAAACCGGTTTGTCAGTCATTAACTTACATTATTCTCCAGTGTTTGCTGAAACTTAAAATGCCATGTGCCGTAATCCAGACTGGTACAGGTCATTTATTCAGTCAAGAAGTTTCAAAATTTCACATTGTCCGAAATTCTGTGACAAATTTCAGCTGTCTCTCCAAAGGTGGTGTCAGCCTGTCCTGTCCTACCCTCTGACTAAGATCAACTGCTGGTATGTTCTCGCATTAATGCCTGTGAACTCTTGCTGCAGTACGGCTTGTTCCTTTTTTTTTTTATAGGCGGTGCTCTCTTGAAATGACGTCCAATGGGAAGTTCGCCGACACTGAAATGACACCGGCTGTGTGGGCGAATCCTTCCCTCAGCTGTCAGGAACTTTACAAGCCTAATTAATATTTATTTTAAATTTCAGTAACAGTACTGTAACTCCTACTGTTTCGAAATGATGCGTAGGTTATCAACCTTGTATTTTACAAATGTTCTGTTTCTGTGTTCCCACTCTAGATGCATTACCTTAATCTTTTTAATCTTTCTCTCGAAATACTGTAAAATAAATGGAAAACCTACAGACTATTCTTAAAATTCATCATAGTAGTATTCCGAAGTCCGTTCCTTCAGAATACTGCCAGCCAAGGCTAAAACGCCTTCAAAACCGACAAAGGCTGCGAACTCATGAAAACAGCATTTTCTTGTTCTAATGAATACACTCATATTGTCCGTATTCAAATAGTGTAGACGCACACGCACATAAGACCTAAAATTTGTTAAACAAATGGAAAACAAACGCTAAGCAGGTCTGCTAAATTATTTACAGCTGCACTGTGCTACAGTGAAATTGAATTTGTCATTTTAAGCATGATTGTGTAACTCAAAGTTGGTGCCTGTGTTACTCGATAACAATTAAACAACACCTCGCCCTGAGGATATTTCTTTTGATAGACTCTGACCGTCTAAGGGGTTTAATATACCAACAGAAAAAAGAGTGAGCAAGTACAGTAGATGATAATTAAATATGTATTTTTTTAAATCAAACAATCGCAAGGCAAAGCCAAATTTAGCAAGGATTTGAAGTATTTTTATAAAAAGAAAAAATGAAAGGCCAAACATGAACTTTACTCGACTCCACACAGTACTTCAGGTATTGCCTATTAGAAACTGAAACCATGAAAGATAGTGCATGGTGGTGTACTGTAGTAGTCAACATTGCTGCTGGAGCCCTGGGTTATATTCCAGGCCTGGGGTGCTATCTGCATGGAGTCTGTATGTTCTCCATGTGTTCACAAAGGTTTCCTCCCACAGTCCAAAAATATACTGTACTGGTAGGTTAATTGGGAAAACTGGTCCTGATACAAGCGCGTGCATGTCTGTGTCTGTGTGCCCTGCGATGGACTAGCAGCCTGTCCAGGGTGAATCCTGCCTTGTGACTGTTGCCTGGTGGGATCGTTTCTGGCTCCCTTGCAGCCCAGTATTGGATAAAATGGTTAGAAAACAGATGGATGGATGATGGCACTCCATGTCAATTTGGCAATGATATGTCTGGGGAACTGACAATGAAAGGAACGCCAATCCAGAACTAACCCAAAATCGAATCCAGAACAGCCACATCAGGTATAAATGTTTTAATTAATAATGACTTTTGTAATGTTAGGCATTGGGACAGTGAAAATGCTTGAAAATGCTTCTTGTACCAAAGCAGAGTTAAAATAAAAGCTCTGCAATCTAAAAATGAGTATTTTCTATAATATGCTTTGTAGAAAGGTATTTTGTTTCGCAACTCCCAAATGTACAAAAAAATCAATCTGTATGAGAAACAGAAAATATCACTATTATGATTTTACTGAGTTCTTTCTCAAGATTGACAAGAATAAGCCCTGACAGAGCACAGCAGTGCTCTTAAGAAAGTGAGCCTGTTAACTTCGTATCTAGGCCTCTAGTGACCTTATCTGCCAGACAAAAACTGAGAGAGATGACTTATGGAGCACAGCCCTACTTTTTTCTCACAGACTGTCACAGCTCAGGTTTTAATACTGCTGCTTCCGGACAGCTGACTCTGTAAGACAGGAGCTCCATATTGAGTTATTATGGAATAAAAAGCAGTTTATAGTCTTAGCTGACATAAAAAGAAAACAACACACAGGATCGATGTATTAACTCTTCTGCTGCACTTGGTATTCCTTGTCTGAAGTGGAAAAAGGCCACACCCTAAAAATAGTACTGGAGGGTACACTACATGCCCCTTCCACATGCCAAACTCCTTCTCCAGGATAAGCCCATGTAGTTAAATTGGAAGCAGGGACTCCAAACTGGTTGTCCAGCTCTTAACACCAAACATGATACTTTAATATTTTCATGATACTTTCAGACACCAAGGTTGTCAAACAGCATTGATTGGTCAGTCGGGTCTCAGCTTCATAGCACTGTATCATGTATGAAACAAAAAGATATCTTTTTATTTCTAAATGTAGAACTAAAAGAAGATAAGAAATTTAACCTGTCACAGAGCTGACTGATATGAAGGGACGAGGATGGTCATTATTAATATAATCATGATGAAGAGTGCTACTTACAAGCTAATTAAGAACAGTTATACAGATTGAGTTCAGGGAGGCTTCAACGATTTACTGAAAATACAGTACAACAAATGATTCTGCTTCCCATACTCATGATTATGGTGCGCACTTGTGGCCACTATTGGGATCTGCAGTTTATTCAAAACTAATGTAAATAAACCTAATGGTGGTGCACATCCTGTCTGAGTGAAAAACCACATCCAGGCTAATTACTGCAAATACTAGAGTTTGGCATCTCTGAATAATAAACCTCTGTACCCTGTACCAGAGTGTCCATATTCAAATCCTTGATATTACAATGTTTTGATAAATTCATGATAAATGAACTCAGTAAACTCATTGCTGTGGCTCACCTTTTAGATAATGTTTAGTTTAGATCATTTAAGGAAACAATTACTGTATATGTACAGAATACATCATATATGTGGGTGTGCAAACACATTTCTGCTCATATGACACAGCTTCCTATATATATACAGGGTGTAAGAATAAATATCCCCCCATTTATTATCCAAATATCCTGTTGAGCTGTGGAATAAACATAGATTTACTAGATGTACTGTATTATATAATACATATTACATATTTGTTCTAGCTGGGCAGATATACTGTAATAGAGGTTTGGAAACTAGTGAATAGTGTTTCTTATTTGATCCACTTTTGAATAATAAACTTCAATAGGCCTAGTGGTGTTTAAATAGAATTATAAAATATTGAGTCCTCTGCATGTCTAAAGCTGCCCTTTGCTGTGTAAAACAAAGAACCTCTGGACTGTCACAAAAAGATAATGGCAAGATGTTCGCCATTCCACTTAATAAACTACATTCAACTTCAAAAGACACACACAGCAAGGGGAAAGTTTCTATTTTCTCTCAGCAGGTGGGGCCAAAACTAATCTTTTCCACTAATGAGTTTTGAAGTTGTCTCGCAAAATCTGCACAAGATTGACTTCTGTGCATTTCAAACACTGTTTTTATGAAATATGTAATATGTTTTATGTAAAGTTTATGTAATAACCATGCGCTGCTAGATTAAAGCAAATCTTTAAAGATAATATTGCAAAGGGTTACAAGGAAGGCTTTGGGATGGTTTGTTATTTCTGAGGTTTGGATGAAAGGCTCCCACCCCATTTTTGTTTTTTAAACTGCATGACTGAAAGTATTCAGTATTTGTGTAGCTGTGCAAAATTGCTGCTATTTTTGAGAAGTGGAGACGGCTGAGAGGGCAACCAAAGTCTATACATGATACTCTTGTGTGGGTTTTGAAAATTGCCGTCCTTTTTTATACTTAGGTTACTATTTTATGTTATCTTGAGAGCACGAAAGCACATCTGCAGTTTATTATATTTCAAATCAGGCTGAAACAAAGAAAACAGTTCATGTTTGTACGGTGAGCATTCAGGGTTTCATCTGGTTTAAGTAACAGAGGGGTGCCCTAGTTTGTAGCTTAAGACAGTTTAATGTTTTGTTATCCAGCATAATTTAAAAGATGTGGTATCATGAAAGCAACAAAAATGAAACACAACTTCATTTACAATGCCACATTTTTAAACTGCAGGTCTCCACATAGTTCTAAGGTCAGAATTAGTTAAAACATGAATACACATAACACGGCAACCATCCTTAAAAATTTGTACAGTGAAAAGATGGAAATCATTTCATTTGCACTCCTCATAGGTCCCATGTTCTACTTGGTAAGTTATATCTAAATATGTAAAATAACTGATGTCATTTTTTACGCCAGGAAATGGATTCTGATGCCTATTATGATGCTCACACAATTTGTATTGTCTATTTTATATGATATGCACATCCATTATTAATTGTATTTTTTGTCTCTAAAAAAATCACATTCCATGTCTGTTCAATCGCTTAGTCACATAGAAAATATCAAAATGCTCCTATTGCCCTTTTTAAAAATAATAAACAGAACATACATTTATTTTAGGAGTTGTAGAGGAATATTAAATAATCACGGTTCTCTAGCACCATCAACAGGGGAAATGTAGTAAGAAAATATTTTCCCAAACTTCATGTACTTTAATAATCCAACAAGAAAACACACTATTATTTCATTATTATTTTGTATACATATCACCATCTTATTTAGAACTGTTTGATAAAGACTCATGGTATAAAGAGAAAGCATGTGATTTTTTTATGTATTGTTTGTACTTTAAAAGTAAAAAATAAATATCAGAAAGCCATAAAAAACAAATGGAAAAAAATATTTAAGACAAAGGTCTTGATTTTTCATTGTGGACAAACTGCCCTCTCAATAGAAAAATAAATATTAAATATGGCAAAACATATTTGAAGATTTTTTTTATTTTTTAAGATTCATGTAACAGTTTGTCTTTACAGATGAAAACAGAAGGACCCACTCTTGTACCTCCTTCTGAGGCTTCAGTTTTATTGAGCTAATAGCCAACTCAAGCTGTGTCTCATCCTATAAAGGGAAAGATGGCAGGGCACTGTAGCTCCACATAAAACTATCAAACCTGTACATTCAGTTGACTCCGTAGTCAATAAGTGTTTTAAATCAGTTTGGCCACACTGTCATTACATACTGCTAGTAATCTGTAATGGTAATGTCTTGTTACAACATACAGTATTCACATGGTCTGCAGTCATTAACAGAGATTCGCATTGTCAGTGCTAAAGGGTCATCACACACTGTGCCTTACTAATCGCTCATCAGCTGGGGCACAGCTTTTTCCACAGATGCTGTCTTGCGTATTTTGAATTACTATATGGCAGCACTTTTAACAGTAATACACAGCTCCAGCCCAGATCCACAGTGGGCCTCCACTCTGTCTGGGACCTCCTTCAGTCGTTTTTCTTAAGCAGTCGAAATTAATTACTGTAATAACTTCCTTCAAGCATTTAAATACTTGTATAACTTAATAAGATAACCCAGAGTAAAGTAGCTCTTTTGAATGTTACACCAGGCCACTGCTGCATCTTGTAAAAACCCTCACCGGATGTAGAAAATGAAAATATGTGAAAAACATTACACATTGTATCATAATTAACAACTTTAACCAATTTATTTGAAATATTGGACTAGGCATCATTTGTTATAGCACATAATTTAATATATATATATAATTAAGATTTAAAGTAATAATGATTATATATTCCAGTGACACTAGAGATATCCAATATTGTACTCAACTAGGTCTGTCATAATCAGAATGTGGCAGCAAAAATCCCAATCTAATAATCCTCATATCAAATGACCATTTAAGGGCCAAAACCACCTAGAAATCTGCTCCCTTTAACTGTTTTTATGTTTGTTAGCACATGCTTTATTTTATATAAATAATATAACTATGTTTTCAAACATTGTTTTTCAAACACATATTTGGATACTGTTAGGATCATAAATACAAATTAGAATATTTTCTAACAAACATCAAATTGAAAACTCCTTCAATACAGGAAGGAATAAGTTACTTAGTAATGCACTCTGAAAATATAAAACCGAAAAAAATATTACATATTTTCATTCGGCGTTTTCACATCATTGTTTAATTACAAAATGTTAAGATACTGTACGTTTTCAATAATAATCCTCATGAGTCACATGAATAACACACTGAGTCAGGAGTAATGGTGAGGGGCTCTGGGTTCACAACTATTTACTTTTTGTAATATAAATTCTTTGTATAGCATAACTTTACAAAGCTGTGTTTATTTCTGAAGTGCATTAGTACACATCCATAATTTAACTCGTGCATGATCAAGTTAATTACCTGAATCAAACAACATTTTAAAGTCTGGATTACAAATGTTTCAGTTTTCACACATCTATGTTCACAGAAAGCGAACATCTGTGTTTAAAATGTACTGTACATCTCAGCAGAACAGAAAACTGCAGAATAGCAGAGCTGATAACCAATTAAAATTACGTAGCGATCCCACATTACCTCAACGCGCAGGACCGCCTGCCCACCACAGTGTACCAGCCAGTCAACTCGGGGAATCGCAGTATCTGGTTCCAGTAACGACGGGCTTTCGTTGTAGAATAAGTTAGATGTGGTAAGCGAAGACCGTTGTGGATACACACCAGGTAATCTACAGGGAAAACTCAGGTAAACCAGTTCACCTTGTGCAGAATCTACTCCCGGACAGGTATGGCATATTATTACTACTCTAGATAGTTAATCTCTAGATAAATGTGATAAATTGAAAATTAAGTGAGAAAAGGGACATGTGCTTTTTCTGTAAATTTCCTTTTTAATGCAGTTATCTATGGGTGTATATTCCATTGATTTTATATGCAAGAACTTAGAAAAGATAACTAAATAGGATTTGAAAGAACTATAGGGCTATATTGATTAAGTGTATTGTCTTAACGGTACAGTGGACGTTAGAAGAGTTAAAGGGATATTTTGTTTCCGGGTTTCATCAGGCAGAGCAATTGTTTGGCGGGGGGGCGAACCGCAACATTCATGAGAATCGGAGGAGCTTGCCTCGCTGACACGTCTGGTTCAAGAAGCAGAATGATGCAGTTTGCGGCGTTCATTCTCTGCGTAGCTCTTATCAATGGCAGTGCGTTGTCCACCACCTTCAAGTCGGACATCACGCCGGCCCTGCAGGCGGGTCTGGCGCAGGGACATGCCAGTCTGAACGACATGTTCAGAGAGGTGGAAGAACTGATGGAGGACACGCAGCACAAACTGGAAGAGGCGGTGTACCAGGTGCGGTCGAAAACAATTCTAGTGCGGTGTTTGAATACCACATTGCCCCTTGTGACAACAAGCTCGTTATATTCACTTTTTTTTCTCAAGGTTAATTTCAGCTATTATTGTCATGACTTGAGTGCCAAAAATACATTTTAAACGACTACAGTACTAAGATGTATATGCACGACTTCTTAATAAAATTTAATTTCACACATCGAAATAAGTAAAAGGCACTCAGGAGCAAAAATTACTGCAGAACTGGTCTGAAATGTATGAAGACGTATGACTTGCATTAGGTAACAACAAACTTTTCTTCTAAGCAGGCGAGACGCTCTTCAACCATTTGGAATATTTTCTTTGTTAAATCAGAATGGTTTTAGTAATATTTATCCTAATTTTTTTTAAATGTGGTTTAGTACATAACAATACCCTGAGACATGGCAGAGGAAGTATGTCATTGATTTATCTAACAACAATACCACCAAAGACTAATGATGGCTCTGTTTTTGTAGATGGATAATGAGACTGCTAAATCATTAATTAACATGGATGACCTGCCTCTAAATTACCATGATGAAAGCAAAACAGAGAAGAAAGTTGGAAATACATCTGTGCACACGTTTCAGAAGATTGATAAGGTACTGCTGAGTGCTGTTTGCCTTTATTAGATTAATCTTTGCGAATCCTTGCATCTGTGATTGGCCATCAAAAAAAAAACATTCTGAATTAGTGTTTTCTTTATATTGTGATGCAATTTAGTTTGAATCTCTCATTATTGCACTTGATTGAATGCATTGCAAATTTAACAAAGCCAAAGAGAAGACTGTAAGAATTCGTAGAAATGTTTTCTGTGTCACCACAGAGTTGCTTCTCACGTAAATGTATCCTCTGTTGGAGCACAGTGCTAGCAGTTATTTTATTTTTTTTAGCTTTTAGAAGCGCTCATGCTTACTCCTTACTCCTTTAGTTCTCATGTATTTGAGACTTGCAGGAGTCTGTTTGGGCAAAGTGAGGATTACAGTGAATGATAGGATTCTATTATTATCCAAGCTCCCTAACCTTCCCCCCCAAGCCTGGTTTTATCGTAATAACTACTGTAGCACACTTTTCTGTTACAGGTAACGGACAATAAAACCGGAGCTACTTTCTTCTCGAAAACTGTGATAAAGTCAAGCAGCAAGGAAAATCAAATTGATCGTGTGAGTGACTTCATGTTCTTAAATGTCACATAATAAAAAAAATTCAGAATTAGGTTCTACTGTAATTCAAATTCTGATTCTTTAAAATAGTTGAAGTATAACCTACATTTTGTATCTTGGATTAGTTGTTACATTATCATTACTAAATCAAATAATCATTTTAAAAATTGGAGTTTCAGACTTATTTTTACCCTGTAAAAGCTGAATGTGCTTTGAGTGTCTGTAGCATATGTTCTTGTTAAATGATGACAGGAAGAGCTAGCTAGAACAGATAAACAAGATTCTTTGCCATTAATGCGTTTAAGTCACTATCTGCCTTCTTGAATATTCTGGAAACTTCCAGTTTGCAAATTTAATTGCAGGACTATTGCAGAATAAATTTGACTGTTTTTCTGAGAGTGGTTAAACCTGTTGGAGTTGGGTAGACCTGTTTTCCTGTGTCTATCAGTCTAAAAAGTAAAAAAAAACAATATACAGTAGGCCTCTGTACCAAAATTTAAATGAATTATGCCTCACTGTGTTAGTGTATAAACATTTCTCAGATGGTAATGCTAATTACATTCGATTAATGTTTTTTTATGTTATGTTTCAGTCTAAAAACAAGTGTCATGTTCTCTGAAAAATATATAAGATATATATTGTGTGGTTCCACTGTTTTTGAAACATCACCACACCAATGTTAGCTTTCGGATAAATCAGATCTTTATGAATAACTGAATGTGGATTTTGATCACAGATGCTGTTTAAATTTAAAGATACTGTATCTGGTGAGAGATACTGTATTATCACTTGTGCATTTGTAGTTATTGCAGATTAGATTTGTGTTATTGCATTGTGGTTAAACACTTGACAAAACCTGACAAAAGCTCTTCAGTAATGTAGCCAGTAATTCATCCTGCATTATGTTGCCAAAAATCCTAACTTTAAGCAGAACAATATTAATATCTCTCCCTAGAGCAGACTGTGGAAGCCCATGAGCACCTCAAATTATTAAGAGTGGCATCTCTTTTATCTGGTGGTGCGTTAGTCTCTAATTATAACCTTATTGATTTTTGATTACTTGATTGCCTTACTTGATCTTAGAAATGCTGGATTTACTTTTCTATCCACACAATCCATATTAGCCTTGACAGTGAAGTCCACTTTCCTCCATGCCTGAACCGGCAGATAGACTGAGGTGCAGACGTTGCTGGTTTGAGTCTGGGTCGGGTCCTCGGTCAAGCACGATCCAATGCGCAGTTCTGCGCCAGAGATGGATGAGGTCACACAGTCCCTGGAACAGCATGCCAAGGATGTGGTGTCCCCGGCTGGCGCTCTGTCACCTGTAGAGACTGTGGGACTCGGGGCAGGGGGCTGACAGCTCTGACTCCAGAACAGAGTCCTCACACTCTAAAAACTCTAAAACTGAGTTAATTAACAATTTGTGATTAAAAAAGCAAAAGCCAAGAATATCATCATCAATGAATTAGAAAAACTAAAGTAATGACCTCTGGTCATCAGAGCAATGGAGCATTGAAGTGGTTTGATTTTATGTTGCCAGAGTTTGTTCTTCACTGCTTTTTGTTGACGATGGCATTCCATTTAACATGTCAGGTTCTATAGCTAAGCTGTCTTGGATTTCCACTTTAACCATCCCCAATAATATATTTTATGTCATTTTGTAAATTGCAGCATTAATATTACATAGTTTTTGTGAACAATGAAAGGTCAGCGGAGAATACAGACAGCTCTTTTTTGTGTTGCAAAACAAACATTGGTATGTTTACAGCTTAATTGCATTCCTTATCTTTTTAAATATCCTTTTTATTCATTTAATATCCTCTCCATTTTATTTGTTTGAAGCAGGGTGGTTTTTCCACATTCTAAAGTGGTAAATCAACTAGTCAAAAAGAGTAAATAATATTTCCTTTTCCACATAAGGAAGTGAAGTGTTAAAAATATGTTAGATGTTTCATCCGGTAACCATGTCACTGTTTACTCGGATTGTGAAATCCGCTTTGGAGGTGGTGAGGTGGTGACTTTTATTGACTTTTCGTCTTATATAGGTGGCTGTGACTGTGCCAGTGTCAAACATACGAATTGGCCAAACTCTGTCAGTTACTTTGACAACCTGATAGCAGAAAGCACAGACAGGTTGTTAGATTTAATAGTGGCTGAATGAGCTAGTGTGGACTTAATGTCCAGTGAAACTTACAGCATAGTAAGATATTGCCGTACAGGCCACGGGCACAGCAGGAAATTAATCACAATGCAAACTATGTTCTGCAAATACTGAAAATACTTTTATATTTTTGCATATTCTTTTCTTTCTACATGCAATTCTGTGCAGCATTGCATTACTTTATTTTTTGGGGGGTGTTGAAAGCACCTGTGGCTAAAGACAAAGCAAAAATTGAATTTAGGCTTAGACAGTTAAACTGTTGTGCAGAAAATCTGTAACATACTGTATTTGTATTTTGTGGAGAGAGCCTAGAATTCATTTTCCAAACCAATTATTATATTGTTAGTATTGCTGCCTTCCTATACCCACACTTTTCAAAGACGGTTCCTGAATGCGATCAACTGCATGCATAAACTTCCTTTTTTAAAGTCTTTTTCTGATTTGTAATTTGTGATTTTTAATTTTGAAAGTGCCATGAGTAAAAATCTCAATTTAAGAACATGTTAAGAATTACAGTTGTAAAACCTTACCTATCAAATGGCATGTAACCTTATTCTAGAGGGCACCAAATCATTAGGTTTTCTTTTTTTTCCCTATGTGACACATCTTTTGACCTGATAAAATGTTCAAATGGGTGGCACAATGGCGCAGCACTTTGTGCCTGAACCTCTGGGGCCCTGGGTTTGATTGAGACTGTGGATGGGTGTCTTGTCTGCGTTTGCATGTGTTTGTGTGGGTTCACATATGGTGCTGTGACTTCCTCCCATGTCCCAGATAAATTCAGGCAAGGATTTGTTCTCAGTATGACCACTGCTGTGTACACGGCTTAGACAGAACTGCATTCATATAATGGGCTGGACAGCCTTCTTATGATTAGTTGCAACAATCAGGAGCTCAGGAGGAATGTTATAAGAGTGTTCCTCGATTGGAAACCCCTGCGGTAATTTCTGGAGTGATTGAAGGTGGGGTGGGACAGTGAAGAAAGCAGACTCTTCAACTCTCTTAATCCTTATATTAACAGAAGGTCATAGCCTGTTTATTACTGAAATTTTCATTTGCCGGTTCTACAGTACCTAGAAAATCTTCATTTTAGCATTTGTGTCCCCTTCTCGGCCAAGCCAGGCCATACTTGGGTTTGCAACTCTTGGCGTCACAGCACTGGCAGATGGTCTGTTTTCTTATTACTATCATGAGTCACCCTTTCTTCAAAGGGAGTCTGCCAAGAGTAAAACCACATAACTGCAAAAACAAGGGACTGCTTCTCTTTGATCCAATTTTCTGTTAAAATCTAGGTCACTGCAAATCAGACTTCGCAACACAGAAAGCATATTTCTTTTGAGTTGCCTTAATACTTAATACAACTCAAATTGGCTATAGAAGGAAACGGTAAATTAATCTTTGTTGTTCCAGAAGAAAGATTAATTATACTTTTGCTTTTGTTACAAATATGTTTGCTTTTATTGTCTACATAGTGCCAAAAAGAATGACTAGAATTACAATAAAATATCTGTAGAACACAAGATATATAATATGTGAAATTGAAGAGCTGATTATCTGTTGTTGCAAAACAGCTAATATCATATAACAGAAACATGGCTATAATCAGACTTTCAAAATTATGGAAAATGCAGGACAAAAACTCTAAAAATTCCCTTTTATTTGAGAAAATGTCTGATGTCTTAAATAAAAAATACTATAGAAAAATAAGAGCATAAATAATGCTTAATAAAAGAATGCTTTTAATTACTCCTTAAGTCAATTGTCAACATTGTAATTTTCATTTAATGTATTGACCCACTGATTTCCCATTCGTACACTACTGCATTAACTGGAGAATTTTGAGTAAAGTACTTTGTTCTCAAGTACTTTTTTGTAGAGTGCTTTGCTTATTAAAACCAGATTTTTCTAGCCAAGCAAGAAAGAGTATTATGTTTCATTTGGAAAATTATAGGAATAAAGCATAGCGTACTGTACATATGCACCAAATGCATAGGGATAAATGAAAATCCCACTTTTTTCCATGGTCAAAAACCTATCGTACGCATTTCAGGTCTCATATTTCTTTCCTAATATGAAACTTGAGCTCAATTTTTAACTGATGAGAAATGGGAATTTCACTTTGACGCTGAGCATTTGTTTCTGCCTTTTTTTTTGGTGAAGAATGTTTCTTTCATCCTTTCAGGGCGGGGTAGAAGGCATGCATGTGAACAAGGGGTTAAAGGAAAAGTAGCTTTGTGAATCAACAAGGTATGAGTCAGTTGAAGCTTATAAAAGCCACAAATAGCCGAAATAGTCTAGACTTAGTGTTAAAAAACGCCAGGGTAGACTGACGTCAAAATGCTGGATGCCAGTTCTTTGGTGATAAATATGTGGAGTTTGAAAGAAATGGACTAATGTCCATGGTAGTTTTGCCATTTTCATAGATCTAGGGCTGCTGGTATATTACTGTATTAATATGTTCACAGCAGGAATACTGTACTTTAGTACTGTATGATTTATAGTGTTACAGTATATAGGAGTACTAGCCGTTATCCATGTAATTAGAAACTAGGCACTTTTTAAAAAGTTAGCTTGCTGTCTAGTATTTATCCATTAGCATGTTCTTGATAAACAGAAGCCTAAGTTAAAGTCTCTGTTATTTCTTTATATAATTCATAACCCTGTTTAGTTTTTTAAGAATCATTTACAAGGTTAAACAAATTTAATAACGTTAAAGTAGTTTTATCTAAACTTTTTACATTGCTGTGCACTTTATGTAGATGGCTTCGCTAAAATTGCATAAATTGTATGACTGATTGTTGGAATTATTTGGAAGATGCAAATCTGGTCTAATATTTGCTTTAAAGGTTGTGGACTAAAATCTGATTTTTTCAAGCTCTCAAGGAATGATAGGGATGTTGGCTGTCATTCACATTGAAAACCTTGGCTTAAACCCTGAGTGGTGTGGAACTGTCAAACCTCTTCTTAACTTAAACTGAAAACCCCAAAAGAATAGTCTGCAGTGTCATAATTACAGACAGTTTCCAGATGGTTTCGTTAAAATTAAATTGGCTTTGTGAGTTCCTGACTGAGGTACCTACAGTATACTATATACTGTAATATGGAAAGGTATTCACTCCTTTCCAATCTTGTCCCATTTTGGTGAATTACGAATGATGTACATTATACACGTTTTGAAAAGGAACATTTTTTCATCAAAGCTTGAATGCTCAAACTAATCACTTTTATGGGTGAACAAAATTAAGTGTTGGCAAATACTGCAAAGAAAAATCCTAAACTAAAATGTGGTGATTGCATATGTATTCACCTTCTTTGCTGTGGCAGGTGCACCAAAAGATTTTAATAGGTCACGCTATTAGTTGAACGGCCTTGGTCTTTGTGTAATGGTGGTTTATATCATTTCAGAATACTCCTGCCTCTGTAAGGCCCCTTTGTCAGGGAGCAAATTCCAAAGATTCACCTGTGAAGACCAAGACGTTTTAAAAAAAATCTTGGGGATAGAGATGTAGAAAGGCATTGATCAGGACATGGGTAGAAATAAACTCAAATACCCTTCATATCCCTGTGAGCACAGTGACGTTGATCATTAAGGAGTGGAAGATATACCATGCAGACACTGCAGATCAGGCTGTCCCTCCAAATTGAGTATCCAGGCAAGAAGGAAACTGGTTAGCATTTCCACTGTGAGGCAACAGCCAACAGCGACTCTGGGAACCACATGAAATCCCTCATACAGTTTGCAACAAAGCATGTAAGAGATGCTGAAAATGTGCCGAAAAGCTTTGTGGTTTTGTACGCCGGACATCCAGTTCCAACTGTTTTTTTTTCTTAATTCAGTGGGTTGGGGGCAAATACTCGTGAAGTCAACATGTTTTAAATTTTTCGTTTTGTAAGAGTTCAGTTTGCAAATTCGGGTTCTGGTCAGAAATATTCACTTTGGGGGGGGGGAGAGAAAAATGAATCTTGAATTTGTAATTCAGGAATTACAAATAGTGAGTGCTTTTTCATGGCACTGTATAGGTGGATAGATTATGGTTTTAGAAGAGTGTGCTTTTATGGGTAGAAGCCAGAAAACAAAAGAGATTTTGCTTACACTACAGATCAAGACCCTGTTTTTATTTGAGTTTAGTGAGGGTCTGAAAGGTAGCAGAAGGGTGTGATGAGAAGCTGTGTAATAACCTCGCAACCTGCAAGGCTCAGCCAGCCCTTTAATATTTTACTGGGAGCACATCTGTTGTTCCAGGAAAGGATACTGATTAATAGTAGACGGCTTTTCTTTCTTCCTGTAGGAGTGCATCATTAATGAAGATTGTGGTAGTGGGAAGTACTGCTCCTATGAGCTGCTACAGTCCAAGTGCTTACCCTGTAAGACACAGGATTCGGTACGTATTGTGACATAGTTCTTTACCATGAAGTTAATGGCTTCACATTTGGCTGCAAAGTACACATTTAATGTCTTGTTTTTAGCCACAAATCATTTCTGCTTTTCTGACAAACTTGTGTCTTGCCATTTTCAAGAGATTGGAAAGCTATAATCTTCTCATTTACATTCTTTTTTTATAAATTTTGAATGTTCTGAGAAGATTCCTAGTCCGTTTCTTTATTCCTTTGTGTTATTTTCTTCACAAGCTTAATCAACCGTTCTTTACTATAGGGTAGTAACAAAGATAAGGGTAGGGTTAGGACTGAACCAGATCAGTGTTGAATTCAAACGTCCTGCCACCTAAGGTTAAATCCAAAACATGTAAGGTTATTTTTTTTCCAATTGTAAATTGTTTTTAAACATGTCCTCAACTCTCCAGTAAAATTGCAACTGAAAAAAAAAACAGGATGTGTGAGCAGAGACATCAAAAGCTTTGTTAGGATATTTTTGGCAGGGTTTCACTGGAAATTATGTGCAAGTTAATTTGCACAGTAGAAAGTACATTATGACTGACAACCAGGAAGAAATAATTTTGCCCGAAATAACAATTGTAGTCTACATACCAGGGTGGATTCTGGGTTACCATGACTCTTACCATGCACAGATGGCTCTCTGGCAATAGATACAGGCTATGTATGTAATTGTGATTCATATTTGAAGTGTTATTTGTTTCATATTTTGGAATGTATAACTTTTATCAAAATAATATTTTACAAGGAGTGGAAGCCTGTAATTATGTAAATAATGTTTATTATTAACTGTACAAGTACACAGTATTTTCCAATAGATATTTAATCTACAGTAGCTGCACACATCCTGAGGCTATGCTTCATTTTTCTTTTTGAAATGGAGAAATGCACCAAAGACGAAGAATGCTGCAACGACCAGCTCTGCATTCTGGGACAGTGCTCAAACGGCGTAGCCAAAGGAGAGGCAGGCAGCATCTGTCAGTACCAGACGGACTGCAGCACTGGCCTGTGCTGCGCCTTCCACAAAAGTAAGGACACCTGCGAATCTTATTCTTCAAATTAAATCATCATTTAAATTGTTTTCTACAGTAACATCCATAATCGCAGTGAGTGCATCCCATATCTAACCTCAGATATGCTAGATATAAAAAGATGATAAATGCTCCATGACCGGTTGTTTTACATTACTTTGAATGTTTACATTTTTAGAAATGCATTACTATAATTATAATTATTGCAGCACTTGTGCTTTGTTGGTTGCATCTTTATCGCTTTACATGTACTACTTTGTCTGTAGCCCTGTTGTTCCCCATTTGTACCCCAAAACCTGGTGAGGGGGAGCGATGCCACAGCCATGCCAATAGCCTGCTAGACTTGCTGTCCTGGGATATAGAGGCTGAAGGGCCTAGAGAGACGTGCCCATGTATCGGGGCACTCAGATGCCAGCCTCATGGGTAAGAAAAATGTTAATTCGGGAGTCGGACATTAATTAAGGTATGCATCAATCAGGAAGGTGATGCATCAATTTAATTTGCTCCTTTTGTTATGACTTGAGAGCCGATGATGACTAATGACTGGTATTGTTGACAAGATAACAAGCCATAATGGGCTGTGAAATGCATGAGTCTTAATTGTTCAACTTCATCACTTTTAAGTGAGAAGAATGTACAATCACTCATCATACAATTGCTCCTTTTAAATACCAGCTCTTCTAAAAATCTTTTTATTGATTGCACGGGGAAGAATAAATGTCAGCCAATTCACAATATATGTGTGAAACTGATTGATCATTGCAAATGGAACATTACCTTTTGCAATTGTAAAGATTTAATTTTTTCAGAGCGGAAAATTGTCAAAAGGTAAGAACAAGCGTGTGAAACTCCTTAGCTGGGGTAGTCAATAGTAAAAAAAAGGAGAAAAGCTTAAAAGCCAGCAGATTCAGCAGAGTGTCTGTTGTAAAACATGTTTTACAATTTGCAGGTTGCAGAAGGTTTCTCATTCATTTGAATCCAGCATATAAAAACAAACACCGGGGTTATACCTCATCTTGACTGAGACTGGCTCATTAATGTGTTAAAATACATGAAATGTCAGCATACAGCTTAGAAGTTTGTGATGGGACAGCATTTTCCATTGCTTCAATAGCTGCAGATATGGCAGTGAAAACACTCTCTGTGAAGACAGTGGGTTTAAATCGTAATGTTGGAAAAGTCTACCCTGCTCCTGAGGCTGCTCCACCTGAAAATGTCATTAGAAATCCTGACTGTGATGCCGATTTGTATGTGACTGCACAGAACTAAGCAAGAGCATGGGTCAATATTTTCTATCGTTATACTTGGCAGAATTATCATGCTGTTACTGTAACTACAGAAAAGCAGCTGCTCTTTTTAAACTTGTCATTAATATAATGAAATCTGAAGCATGTATATGGTGAGCACATTAGGCCTGAGATGGAGATGTTGCCATTCATTAATTTGAGATGCACTACATTGATCAAAACCCTGTAACTATTTCACAGTAGTACAACTAAGTAATTAGTTGATTCATTTTGTGGGTAAATACAAGTACTTATTGTTTAATTGTATTCAGAGCAGAAGGAAATAATTACACAGTAAAAATTCTGTAATTTAGGTTTAAATTTGTATATTCAACTTTAGAGAGTATATACAGTACCAATGCTTATTGTTTAATTGTAATTACATCTACAGTAAGATAATGCTGCAATTACACGATTATGACATTGTGATGTGGCGTCTAAAATTAGCATCTGCTTGTCCAAGCAATCAAGTGACATATTTTACAAGAGTGACAGGTGTTTTTTTTTTTTAATAAGCATGCGGTTCAAATACAAACTCATTAGTGACCAGCCTATTGCTCACTTTAGTCAATCATGGTTGTTATTTTTTCTTGGCAGACGGGGCTCCCTTTGTGAAAGACGCAGAAACTCTTCAAACGAAGAAAGATAATTCAGAGATAGACATTTAAATTAACCAGAAGTGCTGGAACAGGCTTCAGAATCCTGCGTAAAAATACTCTTTACAGTCTAGTCAGAAGTGATTCTGGTTAATAAAATATATACATATGCTTCATCTTTTATTCAGTTGTTCCAACTTATAAGACCAAATATTCTCATATCAGTTGTGTTTATATCCTTAGCCTAGTTCAAGGGTTCTGCTAAATTGTGGAAAAATGTCATCTTAAATTACTCTTTGTAAAATATACTCTAAGATACAAGTTCAGGACCATCCACTTCTCTGTGTTGCTTTTCTTTAATCCGTCCAAACTTATTACTTACAAATGTATTACTGCATATTATAAATACACATTTCAATTGTGGTTACTGTGTGCTGGTGACAGACCGATAGAAACAAACTGCTGTTACATTTGTTTACTCTGGGGGGGAAAAAGGGATACATTTTATCAAAGAAATCATTTTTTTGAGGGAACCAGAAAATAATTACTTTAAAAAAATGTAATAAGGAAAATAAACATCACCATTGTTTCTGTACTATCCAATTGGACACTTACACAAAATCTAAAAGAATTAAAACCCACCAAAATATTAAGTGTTTTAAAGTTGATCTTTAAAGTTGAGAATATTGTTGCCTGCATCACTTCAGTTCCATTTTGCAGTGATATACTGTACCTTGCTTGAATAGAAATTAAAAACATGAAAGATCTTTACATTTTTCTCCTATTTCTGTTGCAATAATATACTCTTGTCTGCTGCATGTGTTTGAAGGTTTCCATAATAAGGAATAATATCTGGAATGAGCTGGGATCATATAAATAGATGTAATAGTCTAAACTCAAGATTCTTTTGAATTTCAAATATGATTTCCTACTATTCTGAAAAAAGACTTGACTGGTAATACAGCTAAATTTTTGTAGATGTAAATATATTAATTTATGACAAAATGCTGCAATTATGAAAAAAGCCTTTTAATTCCATTCTAAAATCATCTCTTCTATGTTCACACGATTTAAAACTCAAAACAATAAAACATAATAAACTTTTTATTGGCATGTCTACTGTAAACAGCTTGCAACAGCATGAGACACCTTCCAAAAACCACACTTCTCTTTTGTGATTTGTTGCGTTTAATAAATTAGGCAGTGCTTTCACACTATGCACACCTGCTCTATCAGTGTAAAACTGTGCAGCAAAGCCAAACCTGCTTTTCAATGCACCCTATCTGTAATTAGGGCATTTCAAGCGGGCTTCCCAAACGCACACCATGAAACATTTTTCACCTCAAGGGATGTGTATACTATGTTGTTGTGCAGAGGGAAAAAAACTTATCTACATACACAAAAGATGGTTAAATACAGACAAAAATTAAAACCTGTGCCATATAATTCAGACCTAACATTCATTAAGTCTTAGACAAAATAATTTACAAAAAAGCCAAGCAGCCTTGGGAGTATGAGAACTAATATGTACCAACCAAAAGAAAATGTATGAAATAAACAAGTAGATTTAAAATTACACAGTATCGTTCAGAATTTAGGAGACTGATGGGTAGAGAAGTCAGATTTAGTAGGACTGCAACAAATGGAAAGATATTTACATACAGACATATACACACTGTCAATCTCAGAAAGGCTGATGGAAAGCACTAGATTGCTCAACTCCAAGTCTGAAAATCATCCAACAATTAATGTTTGATCAAAGTAAGGAAGATTGGAAATCTTGGATCTGAACACCTACACTTCTCATTTTACAGAATGAAAATTTGATCAAAATAAGTAAAATTGGAAACTTTGGATATGAACACCCATACTTCTCAATTTCCAGAATCAAAATTTGATCAAAATAAGGAAGATTGGAAATCATGTATGTGAACACTTAACATTTCTGATTTTCCAGAATGGTACAACCCATAATTTGTATTAAAATAATATTGAACGAATGGAAGATAGCTGTTCTCAGCATTTCTTTTTGATTTATCTTTGACATCATTGGGGTTAGTTTCAACTAAGTTATGATACAATTGTTTTTTATATAATTAAATGAGGTAAATGTGCACAAGTGTGAAAGAATGGCTCTTTCTCAGGCCTCTGCAGAGCTCTGACTAAGCTAAGCAATACCAGTTCAGGCCTAGCTGTTCTACTCAGTATGTGCACCCATCTGTTTACTTTATCCTCAATGTAGTTTTCTTTTAGGTTATCTGATTTATCTTTTGCTATTCCCTTTAAACTTTACAGTACAATTAACTATAGTGCACAACTTTATTCTGAGCCATATTACACCGCGAGGGCTCTGAGTAGTGGGCAATCAGCCATACAGCACTGGTGGTATTGTTTTAACACCAAAACAAGATTCCTGCTATGGTGATGCTACATAGCCACAGGCAGCCAGCTATAGAGTTCTACTCCAGAGAACAGAGCCAGCTTCAGTCTTGGCCTGAGTCTTTATTTGGTGCACCATCCAAATAGATCTTCAGTGCTTTCTCTTTGCGAGGTGAGTAGTTTACTCGGTGACCTGTCTTCAGCAGACGGCTGCTTTCCTTTTTCATGAGCTCATTTCTCTCTTCATCTGATAGCTCCATGAGTTCCTCTGACTTGTCTCTAAATTTAAAAAATGAGAGCTATGAGCATCTCTAGACTTAACTGCATTGCTCTGACTAAAACATACAACCTCACAGGACAGATTCTAAATGCAAGACTAATTACAAACTACTGAATGCAGTAGGATTACCTTCTGAATGAGTTACAGATGTATTAAAGAATTACAAAACAACATGACAACTTTACATATTCAAACACCACTTTACAATTTTCAAGAGTAAACACTATAGGTGATATGACAGAAAATCTCACAATACAGATAATAATCCTTATGATTACAGGAATCATATTTTGTATTAATACCTAATAATTCATGAGACATCATACATTTATACTTCCAAAGGAAAGATACAAAAATGTGACTTGATTAACAGACATTAGTGACAACCACTAAATTTAAACAATGAAACTGTAGTAGGAGGAAAGAGATTAGCAATATATCACTTCAGCACAATAGAGACAAATTTCACAAGCTTTAGAAGCATTTAAGATAAATCTCCAGATCCTGATGGTACTCTAACAATTGTACTTAAAGAAGCAAAACAGGGTAATAGTAAGATAGGGTAATGCAGCACTCATCCATACAAAGGGCAGAAAACTAGACTAATTATAAACCAAAAAATCTTATTACATGTAAGGCTAGGGAAATGCTAATTAAGGCTAATTTATAAGATCAACTTTAAACATAAGGGTTTATTAAATAAGGCTTAAATGCTCAAAATGGAGCAATGTAATGAGTACCACAGGGGTCTGTTTGAGGATGATTGTTCTTCCTAGGTTTTTGGCATGCAAAATGCATTTTCAATGGCTTTCCATTCTAAAGCATTTTATGTACAGTATAGGAGCTATCTGGTTGATTCATGGCACCACAAATGCTTCACCAAATGAATTAAGGGGGATCTTTAGGTAAGCCAGAATGAGCTACTCCAGAGTGGGTGTCTCTTTACACAAATGGTTTGTCTGACAGCCAGAAAAAACTAAATTCCCTCCTTTTCTGTAAGCATACTTATGTTTTAAAAATATATGTTTGCATGAACATAAAGGATTTACCTTAAAGGTTCAGCATACATTTATAAATGGGCAAAGCATAATTTAGCTTTTGACTGAAAATGTTAGGTAATAAATGTAGGATGTTATAGAAATATATTTTCACACCCTGTAATTTAAATTGCATATGCACAGGAAATGAACTACCACTTCCTAAATGTGTTTTCCACAAACATGGAAGAGACACTGGTTTAAAATATAAGTATAGTTTTAAGTACAGTCTAAAATTATACTGTATTAAGCTTAATAAATTAGCAAACAACATTGTTGGAGATGAAGGGTATCAATACATAAATCTGCTACTCTATGTATGTGTGTATATGCATTTCAATTAAGTTAAAGGCTGTAAGAAATTATTGGTTGTATTATGGACATTAAGTCAGACTGAGAGCTTAAGCTAACGATGTAAATTCTGAACTCTACATGAAGTCATATGTTTTGCACTATATCTATAGCAGTGTTTTACCTGTAAAAGACAACGGCACCATCATCACAGATGTAGAGAGGCCAGACGTTCAAAGTTGAAACTTTAGGATTCCAATCCAAATCCTGATGAATCTCCAGTACTGAGATGTCACATGGAAATGTTCCTCTGCCCTTTAATACAGAAATACAAGAAATAAGCAGAAAAACAAAATAGAGCTGTTTAACCAAAGCATTTTTTCTTTTTTTTTTAATAACAGATGAAAAACAATATTCATAGAATTCTACTGTTTTACATCAACAAACACAAAGTAACATTTTAAAATGTAAAAAAAAATATATTACCTTTGCAAATTCTACATTTTCTAGAGGAATTCCACTTATTTCACTGAGCTGAAAAACAAGACATTGCAAGTTCACTAAACCACCACAAGTGGTGGAAATACAGGAATAAACAGTTGTTACTTAAGACAGTTTAACAGTGTTTGCCTGTATGAGAAGGTGTAAGGATTCCATTATCAGTGATAAAATATTAATTTAGTCTGAAGTAAACAATCAAAAAGCGTGGATGCAAATTCAAACGGCAACAGAGTGTCTACCACAAATGCAAAATATATTTATACATTCCTTATATAATTCAGTCTTAAGGCAAGGGGACTGAAATGCTAAAATGTGGCAGCTCACTTTTTCTTTCAGTTCATCAACACTGCTGCTCTCCAGAACCGCCTCCCGGAACGGCTCTAACTTCATCTGCGCAGGACTCCATCGCCGCGTCAGCACTGCGAGCTGAGACATCGATTTCATCCTCTCCGGTTCTGCAGGGAGTGTGAAAGGACAGAGCAACAGCTACTGTAGGTGTGCAACACAGCGCGGAGAAGACACCCTGGCGTGACAAGAAGCACTGGGGAGGTGAATTTCAAACTCTTTATTATGCGATCACCCAAACAGGCAGCCGATAGAGAGCTCACAGAGCCTACAGGATCAACAAAAACACTCATGAGTCAGAAGTCAGAACACAAGGTTAGAAATTCAACATCTCTTGCTTGTTTTCAAGTGTGTCTTCTGTTATGAATGGCCAGTTCCTACTGTTACTACTTTGGAAAAAATCCATTAAGCTGTGTAGATGAATGGCCTCTCATGATTTGAATGCTTTAATCTAGTAACTTTCTATGTTTCAGACTAAAAAGATTTAGCTTTGTATTGGCTCTACAATATCAATAGCTTTCAAGCAGCTAAATGCAACTGAATAAAAGGTCTAATAAATACGCTGTATAAATTACCCTTTTCATAATTATACACAATTATAATAACTTGTTGGCTAGACTAACCCCCCAGTTACAAAGAACAACAGCAAATATTTTAGAGTTATAAACTGTAAATGCAGTTTAAAATTTTACTAATGCACTAATAGAAACAATTACCATCAAGAACTTCAAGGAAGACTTCCCAGTTACTAGAGATGTTTATGTCTTCCTCATAAACATGATAGTCCAGAAATACTGTTCCAGGATTCTTCCAGGTTTTCTTCCTCAGACGAAACCTGTGGAAAAATAATGTTACAGGTATATAACACATTCCTTTAAGACTTTTTATTTATATATCAGAGAAATTATAATAAAAGGATGTAGATGATACATTTTTTATTGTTGTTGTTGTTCCATATCTCGGGGTCTCTATTTTTAAAAAGGTCACAGGTGTGACTCTTAGTAACTGTACATAAAGAAACTTTTTACATATCTAACATGCATAAAATGTAAAACAATGCAATTATCATTTAACATGAAAGTTATTTCGTTTAAAAATGACATTTTAAATAATAACCAACATAATAGCAAAATCAATGAGTCAATTCCTGCTGGACAGGTTAAAAAATAGTGCTTTTGTCTTGGACTAAGGCAAGTTTTTTATGCAGCCAGTGTCACTGTGAGCAAGAAGCAAATATGCTTTCATCTGTACTGGCATTGGACAGGGCAGCAGTTCTGGAAAAATCTTTTCCTGTGGCAAAAGACAAACCGATATATTAAAAGAAGTCTATTTCTTAAGTCATCTGCCACTTAAAAATATCTCCAAAACAAGACTGCAGACTACTTACCGAAAAATCTGCTGTATAAATTATTTTTCCCCCTGTCTTTCCTAAACGTTTTTCTGTTTCTGTGCAATATTACTCACCTGTCAATGCTGAGATCCAGTCTGCAAAGATCCCTGAGCTGAGGCAAAAGCTCCTCTTTAGACTGCCGGACTGTCATTCCTTTAGCAAATACTGCATCCACTAAAAACTTGCAAGGCTGAATTCAGGTGTGGAAAACAATACATGTGGCACATTAAAAAAATGTTTAAAGTATTCAACTTCATAAGGTAAATTTCCCTTACTATAAAACATTACTAGTAATCAGTGTAAAGTGCCAGGAGAGCTAAAAATATTTTAGTCACTTGTCCCGACTAAAAAAACAGCTGGCACACATTTTCAATGCTGTAGTGATACAGTGATAAGTCATCAAAAAGGAATCCTTTTCTGTTCAGTGCTTACCTCTGGATCATTCACCAGAAGCTGGTAAACTTTAACTCGATACTCCCCCTTTTTCAGTGCTCTTCCTAACCTTATTGTTATCTGTGTCAAAAGAAAACAGGGTCGTCTATGAGGCATTTTTTCTGAAACACAAAACGCTGAGACGTCGCACTCAAAACTGACAACTTTCAAAGTCACTCACCTTATTATCATCTGAAAATGAAGAAAGTGTTTCATTGAGTCGCACACTCTCAAACTCCTGGTTGTTGGCATAGACCCGGAAGACCTTGAATTGAGAGGATGGAACTCCCACAAATGGCTCCAAATTTTGTTTAAATGCCACAAGTGTGATTCTTTTATCAACATGGACCAACAGACCTACAAGACATTTCATCACATATTAAAAGACCGACTCTGTTAGAAGAGAACTCTGACAAGGATATAAACAACGATTCCAGCACCACTGTGTACTCTGAGTGCACTACAAATTAAAAGTATTTAAACAAGCAAAATCAGACTAAACTTAAATAGTATTCACATGCAATTTTACTAACACAATCACTATGAAGAAACGTTTATAACATACAAAATACAAAGTCATATTGTATTTTAAATCAGGTTTTGATTAAAGGCTCAAAGTATTAAAAAACATTTCTTAAAATGACATTAATAAATCTATTAATACGGCTAATTACACCATACAGCAACAACAGAATTTGAAAAACCAACCAAATTATGTCTTTTTCCTTATAATTTATCTTTAAAATTTACCTTTCCTTTGTCAGCTTTTTTCATAACTTAATTAACTGTGCTTAAACAGATGCTGAATGGAAAAAGAACTCTACAGAACAGTATTTTATTCAATTACAACATTTTATTCCCCTAGAATATTAGCAGCTCTTCCCCAGGAATCCAAAACAACCCATAAGAATCACTTCTTTTCAGCCCCTGAAGATTATATGGAGAGACATACATTTTTGTCTTTCTCCAGAGCTTTCATCTGCAGAATATGGCTCTGCTCTGAAGTACATGTACTGGGTCTCTCCTTTATTCTTGCCATTCTCATCATACTCGCTGTCTGTCCCAGAATCCTCCTCTGCTGTGTCCCACGTCTCTTTTTTTCCCTCATTCGCTTTTGACCTCCGACTGCAGGTGATGCTGTGAGAGTCAAGGCCATTGGCTAAGGGGATGGGGGCATTGTCAGCATTGCACAACGTGTCACTGCTGTGGCTGGAGCTGAGGATATCGCTGTCCACCGAGCTGGTACTGCGATCGTTGTTTATATCCGAGTCGGAACGCTCTTCTGACTGAAAGTTGTTCTCTGGATCCGAGGTCTGAATCCGGTTCTCCAGCTCTCTGTTGTCTACTGACATTGAAGAGTCGGCCTCCTGTGAGGGTGACTCAATGTGTTCAAAGTCACTAGCATCTGAGCTTTTGAGGCTGTCTCCGTTCCCTCCTCCCTGCTGCTGTTGGAGAGACAGGTTTTTCAGTTTCTCTGTGCTTTCCTCCAAAATGGCCTCCACCGATTTTCTGTTGCCCTTTACCATTTCAAAGTTGTCTTCCAAATGGCCTGAATCTCCACCACCTTTTTGGCAAAGAGTTCTGCTTGCATGGGAACCTGGAGATTGCTCAGGCAATGAAACAAACAGTCTAATAGTGTTTCCATGGCGGTCAAGCAGCTTCCATAAAAGTGAATCCGTGAAAGTGACTTGATGATCTGTTGAATCGGAGCTTTCGACAAAAACCTGAAATTAACAAACAAAATATTACTTTCCAGAACTTCATTCTGCTAAATATATTTGCTGATTCTTTTAATCATTTTTCATTACTTTGCTGACTTTATGGCTAAAAACTATTAGAAGCTTTACTAGCAAAATTTAACCATTTATTCAAATTAGAAATTATGACATTGAAACACATCTGTAACTATATATATATGCTTTCACCACCTGATGAGAAACTATTTCCTCAGGTCACTGACACTTCAACAATTCTACATAAAAACAATAACAAAACAGCAGCTGAGCCACAACAGAGAGAGCGATGATCTAACGATGCACTCAGAAGACAGCATCTTCAAACACTTAAGGCAGCTAAATCTGATGAATTAGCCCAGATGGACAGCAAAAATTGTTTTAAGAGCAGAAGTACATAGGTATTTTCAACAAAAAAATTCTGATTCCTAAATTTAATATGGAAATATTTCACCACTTACTGTGCTGTACTGTTATGTAAACAAATGGACTGACCTTGTTACTCCTGAAGAACCCCTCTGCTTTCAGTGTCTTGTTAGGTACATAGAGGAGCCTTAAGTCATTATAGCAACGCTCCAGTACTATGCGCATAGTTTCAGCTGAGAGCCCAGTTGCCTATCAAACAGAAACAGTATTTGCATTTGAATTATGACATAATGGTTAACGTATTCAGTATTATTATACATTTTGTGAACAATTTAACATCTTGCCTACCCTACAAGATCACCATTAAACTCTATCACAGTTTGTCCAAATAACCTATAAGAATTTTCTGGAGAGAGAAATAGCTCCATTAAGTTTTATAGCTTGTACAACGTGTGAATTCACGTCACACACATTACTCATGAGAGGTATATCATCATCATCAATACATTAAAAATAAAAAAACATTAAACCATTTGTTTTATGCAAGACAAACGATTGGACATCATATCAATGAATCTCCTACCTGTGATATTAGCTGTTTGAACTCTGTGACGGTCTGGTTCAGGTAAGCTCTGACACTGACAGGAGAGGCTATCACCTCAGTCTTCAGATCAACAACATGCACTTTCACCATCACCTCTGCGAGGAATACAAGACCCAAAGCAGCTGATTTCAACGAGGATCCACAATCAAGAAGAAATGGATCAATGGGTACAGAACTTCTTTAACACCATAGCTTGACTGTGCATCTATGTATGGGCAATATGTGCATTACAGCATTCTGACTAAGCTAAACAGGCCTGTTATGTGTGCAAGAGAGGCTATGAGTCACTGATTTAACCAAACCATTCAGACAACTTCAGTATGTCATCTGCTGTAAACAGCGTGACATAGATTTGGCTTGCTCCTAAAAATATTATCAGGTGCAATCAAGGATATTTGTAGAAAGCTATAGATTTATGAGAGAAATATCAACCAGCAAGTCTATTTCTATTTAGCAAGTCTATACCAAATGCTGATGGAGCAAATTGGTATAATTCAGTTCTAAACACAATAGGACATCTTGTGGTCACAGTACGTATTGCAGGCCAGAAAAACCGCAGCTTGATTTTCTAACTGGAAGCAAGCAAAGCAGTGTTTGAGACTAATTTTCACCTCCTGGTTTGTATGGCTGGAAGACTTGTTCTGGCCTCCTTGTTTCCAGTAATAAGTCAAACATGTAGGATGACTTCACTCCACCCAGGAGAAGGCCCATTGGAGTATCCTCCTCTCCTTCATATGACCTCTCCAGATACTCATGGAATTCATCGTATTTAACAAGGCGGCAGCAGTTCAGGGGAACTATCCCATCCAGGTCCATGAGCTTCACATAAGAAAAAGGACAAAATTAAAGCAACAAAGGAACACAAATGTTCAATCTGTGAACATTCTGTACACAATATTAAAGAGAAGATTTATTGTTAATACTCACTTTGACTAGAAATCCACGACATGATATTGTGTTGAAACATATCAATGTTTATTAACACCTATGACTTACGGGTATTAACATCAGCTGTTTCTGGTTCACTATGCTGGGAGGCGAAGTGTCTCTAAAGAGACTTTTAATTTTTCCTTTTGCAAACACACCATTAAGACTAGAAGCCATGGACAGTTGTTTCAGGGCACATCAACTTCGCATAACTTACTGTGACCAGAGAAAGTGATGTATATATGCATCTTCCGAGGAGGTTCCCTGGTTTACGGTGTATTTTTGAAGTGTGCATGGCTACAAATTATGGAAAATGTTACTTAGGTCTTGCTATTTCACATGTGTGTGGCAAAACACCCATTATGACATACTACATATTTTTAAAGGAAAAAAATGAAAGTTGCAATTGATACTACAGAAATGTGCGTGTTCTGCATCAAATGTTAAAAATAAAAACACGAATCCATATTTCACTTTAGAATACCACCAAACAATTGCATGAAATACTATCATTAAAGACTTATGTAGTTCTAGATACTTTCTGTACCTTGTATGCAATTTCAACAGCTTCCTTCAGTGTCTTATCCTTGTGAACCTCGAGTCTGTTTTCCATCATAAGCATCTTCACTGGGTGCATGCAAAACAGCTTAATCTATGTGGAGAAAAAAAAAAGGTTATGAAAATATAAGTGCAAAAGAAGGTATTTCTATTATTCTTCCTATTTTATTATAAATAGGAATCTCTCTTGACACAGGTAAAACATGGCAGCCAGCCACGTCTAGCAAGGGCCTCATACCTTGCATGTGTTGCGTTCTATTTCACGTTGCTTCTTTTCCTGCTCCTCCAGATCCTTCTCCTTCTGCACTAGACGCGTTATATGGGCAGGGAAGTCTTGAACCTCCAAATACTCTACGCAGTCAAACATCATCAATAATAAAATGTTAACGTGAAAACAGATGACAAGAAGCAGTACTGATCCAACCATTTTGTTAGCTATACATGCCTTGAAACATACGATAGCTTTTTTTTTTGCACTAGCCTCCTCTTCATTTGAGAGAAAAATGTGATGCTACAATTATACAAATCAGTGGTATAACACCACAAATATCGAAAGTGGCTCTTTTTCAATAACTTACTTGCATTCCTTGAAGGATCCTTTAGTCTGTAGATCAGCATATACGCATTTGTAGAACTATTGAAATTGGAAAAAAGGTTGATTATTCAGTCTGAAGAAACTACTATTCAGTAAAAGTTTGGCGACACTGTTAAAAAATTAGCTTCAGCTACTGATGTTGATGTTTAATTCAAGGTTAATCCCTCTACCAAATAAACAGTATATGGGATTCATAGAATAATAATGTATTAATAAGAAAACAAAACTGAAGTGTCAAAAACATTTCAAACACAGCTTTCCAGGAGTCCATAAACCTGTCATATAGAAAAGGCATTTACAACTAACCTGGCAAAGGCACTAGAATAATAACCTCTGGTTCCTGAGGTTCCACCATATGTTTTCCTAATGTCATCTTGAGTAATCTGCAATTCAGAACAAACCACATTTCAATTGATAACCCCAAAACCTAAACTAGACCACTAAAGATACAATTTCAAATGTGCTGGTAAGTAACTTTAAGGAGCAAGCAGTTTTCAATCAGCTATTTACCCCAGCATTTTTTCCCTTTGGGCCTTCTAACATTAATGGGAGTGCTACAGAATTTTGGAAAAGCTACATATGAGAAAAGACAAAATAATTAATTAGTTTAAACATTAATTGTGTGATGTGTCGTGTTTCATGTTGTATAAATATGATAAAGAGGCCACGCTCTATAACTTTTCATGTGGGAATTGCGTGTGGTGTGAGTTCAGATTTTTTAAGTTTGGCATAAAAAAAACAAAGAGAACATTGGAGACTGGTTGAACAAGTGCTCAGTGCTTCATGATCATCAACTCCTGCCAGGGTAAGATGACTACACACTTCATGAAAAATGACGAAATGCTGAAATAAATTTTGTTATGTGTTAATGTCAGGCCGGTGATATATAAATGTGTGTGCATGGTGCAAATGTGTCTGCTGTGAGGAGGAAAAGATTTAGAAACACTGACCTAAAAGACTGATTAAATAAAGGATAGAAAACTGAGCAGTCTTACATGGAATGGCAATTTCTTTTACAATTTCAGGGGCTAATGGCTGGCTGCTTTGTTGTGTGCAGTTACCTTGCTGACATGTTGGTCATTAAAACTGTACCACTGTCCATCACTGAAGGACTTGATGCAGGCGTAGTAGTGGCCACCAGCTGCACTTCCTGAGTGAACCATGACGGAGAAGAGCTCAAACGTTAAGGAACTCTGGTGCGAGAGGACAAATAAAAAAAAATATTAGCATTCGTACCCAAGAATATGTGAAATCAGTTGCAACTGATCTATGCATAAGGAAATCACAGATTCTGTATCTTTTTAGGAAAAAAATGTAAACATGTTCTAAAATCTTAAAAGCAAACAAAAAACAGTTTGAAAAGGTTGGTAAGGCAGGGCCAGTCTGTCATTTTGTGTAATCCGCTATTCAAGGATGATGACACTACATTCAGTTCATTGTTCTGATTCTGGTGGGTATTTATAATTAGTCACTATGTTTACACAGTTAACAGCTCGATTAAAATGCTGGAGACATACTTTTCAAACATTAAAGATAAATCATACAGGATAGGCTAACCTTCTTATTATAATCTAATAGAGGAAAAGGGCACACACTGTAACAATGTGCACTTATGTATATTCAAATTATTTTGAAAGTGTTGTATATATTGTGCTGATGCTTGATTTGGAGATTATATAGTGAAAAAGAAAATTTAGTTTCAGCTGTGGAATAGAATTCTACTTCCTTTTTACTAACTCAAAAAACTCACCACAAGCAGTGAAATGTTGTACAGTGCTGACTCTATTTAGTTTGATACAAGTAAAATGTCAGCAGCTTTTTCATGTTAAAGGTGGCAGAATAAATAAAACATGCATGCACAGTAAGCAACGTAGCATTTCACTGCTTGCACCATACGACCAGATTAATCTTCATAGGGTTACTGCTAAGACTGGCTTACTTTAGACTTCAAAGATCTTTCTGTACTGCTGGTGTTCTCTAGACAAATGCCTTCATCAACTCCATCGTCATTGGAGAAATCATTACTCATCTGATCACTGTGACAGCTGCCTTCATTCTCAGCCCCACTGTCAGTGCAGCTTTCTGTCTGAGGAGATTTCTTTAAGACAAGTAATAGAAAAAGATTAATTATACCCTATTAATTAGTTTACATAATCACTTACATTACAATAATAAAATAATAATACAAATAAGAAATCATCTTGATAGGTTCATCCATCTATTATAAGAGAGCAACTTGTCCTGGTGAGAAATGGAGCAAAGTCTCTTTTGGCGAAATGTAGAATATCTTGTCGAATCTAGCCAGTATGTATTTGAGAGAAAACTGGAGAACCTGGAATTAACTTGTGCAGAAACAAGTGTAACATGCTCCCATAAAGAAGACAATCAAACACAGGATCCAAAAACTGTTAGGCATGTATCTGTCACTGTAAGGCACTTGCTGCCTGATAGGTCTTTTATGTAAATACTCTCATGGATACACAGAATTAGCAACTCATAAATTCCATGTAGCCACAGATACATCCCCTGATCATATCTAATGTTACCTCATCTTCCACATCAATAAATGGACTCATATCCAGCTCTTCAGGGAACGTCATACGATCATTCAGCTTTATTCGGTGCATGGTTGTGTAGTCAAAGTCAAAGCGCTTCAACTGCAGAGTCAGGAGGTATGGAAAATGCAGAAACCTCAGGCCCTAGAACACACACATGGCATATATTCAAGTCCAAAGAAATATCCTTTGATGATGACATATGGTGATGGGAGACCTACAGACTATTTGGATGAGATTATATACACAGAAACTCTTGATAAATATTCACCCTTAAGCCTTATTTATGTAAAGAAGAAAAAGTAAGCATTCCAGTAGTATTAGTATTCCAGTAGTATTACAAAAGTTATCTAAACCGGGCATCTGATACAGCTAAGATACCGTATGTACCTGGAGTACTGAATTACAATTCATTATTGTCAATTTATTCTTGCTAAAGATTTATGGATCCGTGCATTATTTGGCAAACAGAGTACATAGCTTGGGGCTTTTGGTATTGGAAGAATAATGTGGAATGCCCCCAGTACCAGATTACAGAGACAGCTGATTTTGTTAATAGCAGCCTCACTGCACAGCATTATATAGTCAATATACTTCCTTAATTTTTCATTATGATAAAGCTCATCTAGATGTGTGGAGAGTCACATAAGACTTTCTACATCCCTCTGGAATTAATGTCACGTCTACTATATTACTGGATTGTGCACCTATTATTTTATGTGTTCGAATAAACACAATACAAGTGTATGTCAGTGACAGTCAATGGCAAATATCACTGCTTAACTGGAAGTTGCTTTTCAGAACTAATGGAAGAATGTCTAAGTGCAATGACTACACTATACCATTAGTAGCAATTTTTACACATAACAGCAATGCTGGGTTTCAATACAAATTAGAAGATACTATATTAAATCAATAATGAAAATAATGAATGCAAAGGTGAAATGTGTGATATTTCAAATGTCATGTTTTCTAGGGCCATGTTTACAACACTTTTCCACATATGTTTTTAGTTCTGTGATATTTGGTTAATACCAAGATAGATAAGGCCTAGGACATATTCCAAATTTAGAAAGAGAGAAAACAGCTTCTGAACCTTGTGTTTACAGAATTAAAAGACAGTACTGCGCTGGAAAGTAATTTAAATCCAGGTGGCCTACTACATTATTCCATCCTAAACTACTCATGACCCAAAAACCTGTTAATCAGTTCTAGTCTTACCTTTCGGGCATCACATTTCTTTTTACACCGCTCACAGAAGTATTGATTAGGGCCATCAAGAGTCTCGGGCTGGATAAATGCTTGAAGGGCTTCTTCCTGTTTTAAGTTTTACATCATTAGTGCTTACAGCAAAAAGATGCTCTAAAATTCTTCTTTACTAAATTGTCACTATAAAATAAATAAACGTGAATGAGTTGGTAATACATCCACCCTAAAACTGTTAACAATATAATAGATGTATAGCCTGGAATGGTGTCTTTGAATTACATGGCATTTGGTCGTTCCCCAAACTGGATGAACGACAGAACAAGTCTTTTTCAAACACCACTACTCATTTTTTCTTTCAATACATTATTATACAAAGAACATTGCAAAAATAGCTGAACACCCACCACACTGCCAAAAGCCTGGTTTGAACCATAAGGCCTGATCACAAGTGGGATGTCAAGGTATGTGTCAATTCTCCAGCTCTCGTACCCACACTCCAGACACCTTACATAATCCTTCAGCTTGCCCTGATAAAGCTGATTGATTAGGTCAGCCTGGAAGAAAAAAAAAGGGTGCTTATTAGAAATAGGGATTTTACATTTTTCCTTAAGCAAATGTATCTATCCAAAAATACCAAACCTCCTTCTGTGACCTTAGTGCCACAACTCAAAGGCAGTGTCCTATTCAACAACGCTCCAACAAAAACAGGAATGCTATTTAATACTGTCCTGTTTCCAACAGCACAAATTCTAATCAGCCCTCCTGATACGAGTTAACTGAACAACTTGAGATACTGTACAACTCTTGCTGCCTTTTCACATTTCAATCTTCAGGTACTTGTAAGTGGATATAACAAAGTGTTTAATGTGAAACCAAAAAGTGTCCTTCCTTCCTAATTTGCCATCTGATTCATAAACCAAGTGCTTTATTTCTTACAATTTTAGAAACTTAAAAGGTACCTGCTCTGTCTGCTTCCATTTCTGCTCCAGTGCATCAAACATAACACGGCATAACTCCTGTACATCATGCTGCTGCCAGGCTGCATGAAATGCATCAGTAAATCATTGTTACATTATGAACACCTTAACACTGAAAAAACAACTTCAGAAAGCAGTTTTTCGCACGACAAGATACACAACAGCTACTTCCAACTATTTCATGACTGGTCAAGGACTTTTTAATGTAATTCGCCAGAAACAAATAGGGCGAGACTACAGACTCTCTCAGGCTCTAAAATGAAGCTGTACTGTTACAATTTACTATGCAGGTTGTAAAATCAGCATATTTTTAATTTCATAACTTTACCGAGATCTGGACAAAAACAAGCATGAATCACAGGAAAGAGATATAAAGATATAAAACCAGTTATTCACTGCAGCAGTTAACACGAAGTTGGGAGAATTCTTTTTGCACCTTCACTGCTGTCCCAGCCAAAGCTGCGAGTCACATCCGTTGTCTCAATGGCTCTTTTCTTACTCGTCTGCAGCAGCACAAACAGCCTTTGGAGCTGGTAAGGAATACTGGTTACAGGGTCCTCTTCTGACTCTTCAAACTCCCAGCTGATGAGAAGGGAAAAGGCTGGTTACCATGGTTCCTCAAAAACAAAATGATTCTATCATTTCATTGTTGCAAAACTATAGCATTGCTCTCACTTGTACAGAGCATTTCGGAATTCAGGCGTCATGAAGAGTGTCTGCAGCAGGCTGTTTAGATAACAGGTCATGGCTTGGTTCACTAAACCCACATATCCTACAAGAATAAACAGAACAGAATGAGTGTCACAGTACACTGCTGAAAACACTGTCAACAGCTAAGCTCGGTATTTCAACAAAATTTCCAAGTGCCTAACCTGTTTCAGATTTGCTTAATATGGAGGAGTAAGAATAGCTGGGGCTGCTATAATCACTACTGCAGCCAACTGTGCAGTCTCTGGGCAGGGGACCAATGAACCTGTCCTGGGAGCTGTCATCTAGACCGCTGCTGTCTGCTGTACCTGATTCATCCTAAAAAGAAAGGTTATTGTTAAATCCAACAAATGTTGCAAGCAAAGGCTTTCTATGCAACTCCATGAATTGCATATTTTGTATTTGAAAAAATGACTATAAGCTGACTGTAAGGGTGCACAAACTTACTGTAAGGCTAATCCACTCAAAAGTAATAGGGTTTGTATAAGGGAAGTGCTATAGAAAGGGCTAAATCATTTATTGTGATATAAAATGTACATTTTCATTTAGTATATTAGCTAAGAGAAAAGCAGGATGTTGTTTTTAAACAGTCTCAACAGTGTGGCTAAAATGTTCCATCTGTTTTTATGTCACCTTTCCACTTACTGATGCTATCTGAGGTTGTTCACCATCTTTATCTGTGAGATGGAGAAAGTTTTTCTTTCCTGGTTCAAACCCAGACTCTGCCAGAGATGAGTCACTGCTATGGTCCAATGGTGCCTACACAATCAAAAGAAAAAATTATGCATTGACAATACATCATGGTCTGACTGATGAAAAACTGACTTGCCCTTTGTTGACTTATGATAGAATATGAATTCCTTAGAACCAGCGGTAGAGGTCTATCTGTAAGATTCATCAGTGTAAATAAGCTGATTCTTGGCAGTGTCTAGAAATCATTGTACAGTGGCCTTTTCAAGATTATCAATAGATGGGATAAAAAAAACTTCAAGAACAAAACATACTGAACTTTTCAGCTGGTCACATATTTTGTATTTTAAATAAATTACTATCCTAGCCGTGGCCTATGGTGCTGCTCAGTGGAGAGACGACATCTATATACATAGGTGGGCAGCTGTGTCAGCATGCTTAGTCTGCAAAGGAACAAGTAATAGGTTTATTCCATGCTGAAAAAAAGAAGAAAGAGAACACAACGTTTTGGCTGTGGAGCCTTCTTCAGGTGAAGCCTGAAGAAGGCTCCACGGCCGAAACGTGTTCTCTTTCTTCTTTTTTTCAGCATGGAATAAACCTATCTATATACATATGAGACTACAAAACATTTTTCAAATTCCACAAAAGGATTGGACTTGTATTCTTGTTGCTGCCACTGGCTGCTGAGACCTAGAGTAAAAACCTGAATTCTAACAGCCTCAGCATCTGTACACCGCGTTGGAGGAGATATGGTCAAATTCAAAACCATCTGCACATATTGGTAGTCAGAATAAACTTCTCAGTTTCTATTGCCTTCTCCTGTACTTATGTAGCACAGTATAGAATAAGCCCTGCTGTTAACAATGGTAGTTGAAAAACATTACGTTTCGAATTTTGTTTTTAGCAGAATAATGCTATGTACAAACTACAGAAGTAAGCATTCAGCACAAGAGGCTTACCATGTCTGTACCACTTCCCCATGTTAAATCAAAAGTGCCATTCACATAGCCAGCTTTCGAGGCAACATCTTCAAAAAGTTTTCTCAGGGGCGTTGAAGCAGGGAGGTTGAAAGTGAGTTTCTCATTTACAGACTTTGCACTGGTGGTATCCTGAATGATGCACAGCACTCGTGGCTCATCTGCAGCATTTTCTATCTAAAAGGACAGAGTAAATCCTGTAAATACTAGGAATAAAGGAAAGAGACATTATATATTCTGATGTGGTCCACATTTACGTTGGTTAGGGTACCTTCTTTTTCTGAATATTTTGACATAAAAAAACACTTTCACTGCTACTAGTCACTATATATGTTGCTATATGTAACTTAAATATCTAACAGTATTAACTAAAAAGAAAAATGATATACATCAAACATAACAACAAAGCTTTTGATTATGCACTATTACACTGCCTGGTCTGATTAAAATGCAGTAGCCTCCATAAAAGTTTTGTACTTCAAATCTCCGCCCCCCTAAGTGACTTTAAATGTGTGAAGTACACTTAGAGTTAACCAATTACGCAAATCTGTTTGCATGAAAGTTTATTTCATCAATCGAACATACAGCACACAGTTCCCGTTTCCTGGGGTTCAAGGCTTCATGGCAAACAGTATTAATCTGACCCACTGCACACCTTGTTTCATTAAGCTCTCAGAAGGCTGCTTAAAATGGTAAGCCTCAAAGCGTATGAACAGCGACTGGAAAAACTCATCCGATGCATTATAAAACCAATGAGCTGGACATACAGTATCTAGTGGCCTACAGTAATGTAGGAATAGGCTGCTTTGAGCACATCTGTGAATGGCTAGCACTTGTTTTAATTCAAACACTTGCATGCATGTTAGTCTTAGGCAAATGCTCTTTAGGCCATGTTGTGGATTAGTTTCAATCTCTGAAAAACATTGTAATTGCAAATGAAAGGCTTTTTGTGACTTTTCTTTTTATCTAACCATGTGCACAGTATACTAATCTCCATGCTGTCCTAACGTTCCATAATAATCACATCCCATGCTGTGATCTGCAATGCTCTCTTATAGTGTCTACCTTAGGACATTTTTTATTTCTCTTCCAGTTATCTGATATCCAGAACTACACAGTTTCATCCTTAATGGTATGCTATTATTTTGGTTATATTGTAACTGCTGCAGCAATTATTTCCTGCAATGTACAGAACCTGTACATATGGACTGGAAGTTTTGCTCAGTGTTTTTTAGATTTAGAAATGTTCCTTAGATTACTTTCCGAGTAATGGCAAGAGATGCAAAAAAAAAACATACAATGTTTCCTAAACTGTATTGCGTTTTTAAGTGTTAGTTAAATTTGTTGATTATTCAACATCTTCACAGGTACCACCACCACAGGTTATTGGTACTGCAGCTGTGCCCAACACTCAACAGTATAAGGTGGGTAAACATTAAAAATGCCATGCTACTTGACAGCAGTGAGCTGAACAACTTACAGCAGTGCACCATGCTGCCATCTCATGCTTTGGCTTCACCAAAGATCTACCTGAGAGAATTTCTTCTTCATCTCATCAAAAATACTCTGTCTGCAACTCCAAAACTTACCCTGTGGCAAGTGGAAAGAAAAACAAAACACTCTGTTGTTATGGAGCCAATTGGTTGTCCAGTTCATACTGCGGTCTGGACCTGTGTTCACTTGTACCTAATGGTTATGTCAAGGAAGGGGCTACAGCAGACTCAGCTGGACAGGGGGCCAGAATTACTGCAGTTTCCCTCAAACCAAGCTTTTACATTCGCATAAACCAATTCAGACAAATTTTCAGAATCACTCTCAAGAATAGTTTCGCACTACTTCACAGGAGATATCCAAATTCTAAAGAAACTGTCTACCAAAACATTATTTGGTAGACAGTTTCTTATTATTTCCAGTCTTGACGCCACTTTTCAGTTTTGCTTTAAGATTCAGCAGATTGTTTTTTAAAAAGTCTCCTTCGTTCCATCGAACATCCGATATGATTTATTCATCACGAGCTAGCAGACATAAGATAACTTTCCAAAACTATAGTTAGAGGCTCTAAAAAGCCCAACTTGTCAACACATCAAAGAGTATTATCGGATTAGAGGTATTTTTAACAACAGATAATAACACTGCGTGCTGATTCAAAGCTTCTGACACTGAGAAGCTGGTTCACCATAGAAAGTGAACTTGAAAAAGGAATTTTTCTTCCAAGTCTCCTCATTTTATAATTGTAAAGAACATATACATTTTCACAAAATATGAAAAGGTCTGGAACATCCCACGCTGCAATCTTCTCTCTAAAGAAGGAAAAAGTCCTTCTTCAGTTTAAAAAGACTAACAGCAGGTAAAATATTCATAGGTTTATACAGTAAAAACCCAGTTGGATTAATAAGGGGAAGGGGTGTCCATTATTGCAAAATGTCTGTTAATTTATCAAATAATATTTTTCAGCTCAAACATACCATGGGAAATACATACTTTATATACATTTTCTTGAACTTTTGCCATTTTTTAACAATTAAAATGATTGCAGTCAATGAAATCAATGAAAATAATTCACGTGTCTTTTCTTAAATATACAAGTTCTTTACTTCATGTGTCATAAATATACTTTATACAATTCACTAAAGCATACAAACACATCATAAGCAACTGACCTATACAGATATTCCTAAATTTTAAACTTATGTAACCCTTTATACATTGTTTTACTAGTTGTGCAATTCCCCTTAATTGTGTGGAAAGACCAATATTTCTGATTTTACAGACAAAATTCCCCTTTAGCAGATTTTGTTCATTAAATCCAACATCTATTAAACCTGAGGTTTACAGTACAGTTAGAAAAATTGCATTTAAAAAGCCTCTAAAACCTATGATTAATCCAGTGGTTATATATTGATCATTTATACATTTATTGAATTACAAATGTAATCTTGTAATATAAAAAGTTATATTTGTGACGTAAACATTCATGCATCTTCATGTATTCTTCAAATGTTCAGACTCCCTTATACTAAAGAATGTTTTTATAATATATTTAAATACATCAAAACAATCCCCAATTAAAATTAAAGTTTCCAAACAGAAAACAAAGGTAGTATTCTACAGCAATGCAGTATTTCTGTATCTACCCAACTGAAATATTTTCCCACAGCAGATAACATCACAGAAACTTCAAAGGTTGATAAAGAAGGTTAAATAGTGAAATTAAGAACAATAATAAAAAAATCTCCATCATAGTTGTGTAAACTAATATTAAAAATGTATCAGCTACACTAAAGTGATAAATAATCATTCGAGTATGTCGAATAATCAAATAATTCAGGATGTCAGCTTTCAGCAGCATTGAATATTAAGCAATATTAAGCAAACAGTAAAATATCTAAAGCGCAAACAATAAAATAAGATTGAGATATGCCTTTTTTAAGAAAAACAAATAAATGTCATTAACAGGTTTAATCAACTTCTGCATTCACCCCACAGGAATAAAAACAGTATACTACCTGGCTTGGAGATATTAACTGGAAACTCTTCTTTGGCTTTAAACCTGACATCAAATTTTGTAAAACTTTCAACATTAGCAATCTGGTATTATCTTCTTCCAGACTCCCACTGCTCAACAAGTTTATAATTAAGCAGTTCTGGGAAGGCAGAATCTTGGACAGGCTAGTGCATAGGCCTGCTGATAATATCAGTGTTTTGCTTGTAGTTTGTAAAAGATGTTTAAAACATCAAAATAATTCATCTTAACTGTTAATGCCTACATAGAGAATATAAATCTAATGAGACAACAAATCAAAGTGCTACACTTTTTAAATGACTAAATATAAAAACTATTTTGTGTTTTATCCTTTTCACCTTAAAACAAGAAAATGAAAGTTTATCACTTCCTTGTTTTACAGTATCTGTACTACTGTGAAGCACTTCCTGCCAAAAAGCCAATCCAGACTGACTTACTACTTTTTCTGCCAATCAGAAACACTCAGGGGAGAGCCTGTCAGCACTCAGATTAATATTATGTTCTCTAGAAAAGGAGTGCCAGAAGCTGCTTATCAAAAAAACATTACTTCCTGATACTTCCAGGTAAAATACATTTTTGCACAAAAAAATACCAGCCTAAGAAAAAAACCTTACAAAATCAAGCATATAATATTAACTTAAATTTCAGTAAGAACAACATTAAAACTAATAATTTTGAAATCTTCATTGTTTTCATTTTTAAACATTCTTAAAAATCACACAGATCTTGTCACAAGCCCAGTTAGCTGGAATGTCACCACATTCATAAACTGAAAATCACTGCACAGCATGGATTTGTTTTGCATTCACTGTAAAGCTGAAAAACCCTGTGTGCATGGGCTTCAGAAGGGTAGAGACTGAAGCAATGCTCCTAATTTGTCTCAGGAAAACAGCATTGCAAGTGCCAACAGGACACTGTGTGCCATGGGTTTAGCAACACTGCAAACCCGTGATCTACTGTACAAGCAAGTCTACTATTCTCGTATGTGCAGATAAAATTAGGTAACAGATCTAAAACGGATTTATATCAGTAAACAATGTATTTATTTTAGAAGTAAGGCATTCCAGTACAATAAAGTCTCACTAATAAAACTGAAAACGTAATTAGCCTGCAACATTAATTTCTACAAATATTTCAATCAGGATAGTGTTTCATGTGAACTGTTGTATCGACCAGGACTGCTTTCTAGGACTAATTACAGAACTGACAAAAATATCCATACTGCCCAGCTGACTCACCCTTGAGTATAAGACTTCTGTCAAACATTTTAATTTGTGGTAGCAGGTGGCCATTCTCAGATTTTTATTTTAAACACTTACTAGTGTAAGAGTGCCCAGCAGTGTTCTGATAAAAATAAAGAATTGGGGCTTGTTTATGCTTGCAGTTGACAACTAGATCATCTCCAACAATATCTTCCTTACATTAACTTTACCTCTACAATATTTACGCAGAAAAGTATACAAATGAGAGAAGGTCTTTCAACCAATCTAGAGGAGCAATAAGTGGAACCACATAATACCATATTGCCCCTATATTTGGTCTATATTTGTAAATATTTTTTCTACCCAAAGTTTAGTCTATATCTTACAGAAAAAGCTGAGAGGTTGAATATTCAAAGGATTTGTGTTAAGAGGAAGAGAGCACTTTGTGAGCTGTGCAGTACTAGTGCCTTGTTATTAATCGGCTACCCTAGTGTGCTTATGTCCTCTGAAATTGCACTGTGCTTGGAGTCCTCATTGAAAACTGGCAAGAAAGAAAAGGATAATTAGTTATTCATTTTGTAGAAGGTAGTTCTTTAAGAATACATTGTACTAAAATGTGGATTTATCATTTTAGCTTGACATCTGAAGACCCATTTTTTTTCTTTGTATTGCAAAGTTGTAACTAGAAATGGATTTGTATAAAATTATAGCCTCCCCACCACTGTGCTTTTACAAATGGATCCTAAAATTTGAGTTTGAAATTCATACAATACAATGTATGAATACCTGAACGTCCACTCTAAACAGGAAGGATGAGCATTTACCACTTGTCACAGGCATTCGTTATATTTAAAAGTGTTCTTTCGCAAGTTTAAAATTTACATTTAGAGATTAATAAACTGAACTATTAAATACAATTATGAAAAATAAAGAAAATTCCAATGTCAATATCAGGTAACGCCAGTTACAGGGACCTTGCAAGAAATCAGGTTCTGGCAATTTAATTTAAACAAATACTTATTTTCATCTGGATAATTTATTAGAAGAGAACTACTAAGCAGTTAATACTGTTCTAAACACTGACGACATGAAGGCCCAAAGACTGTTTTGCTGAAAAAGTCCAGAAACGCTGAAGTTCCCAAAAATTAATTAGCACTGTTTAGCACTGCTGTCACTGTGGTCTAGTCTGCAAGTTTTAATGTAGTGTCCAGATTGCATAATGCTAGTAATAACTAACTTCCACTCCAAATTTTAACAGTAATACATCTGCCTATTTCTAAGCCTTGAAGACCCATTCCCTATACTTTCTGTTCTACTGTTAGCCGTCTGAAAAAAATATCACAAATATCCATCTTAGTGTCCCTCATGGTCATGAGTGATGACAAAAAAATAAACAGACTTTATGTAACTATGTCCTATCATAACACAGACAGCATTGTACTAAAAGTACTGTGTAAACAATAATAGTCGTGTTTTGTATTAAAAAAGAAACCCTGAAGGCTAAGACTACAAAGATTTTAACCTCAAAGTTTCAGGATTGCTCAAGTAGCTGGAATCTAAGAAGGCTATAATTTCATATTCTGTTTTGAAATCAACTTATAAAATCATTCCTTAGTGTTTAAGGGAGAAAAGCACAACATATCAGTCCAGAATTCGTACCTTTCTTGCAAAGGAATTCTAGCAATTGCATGGAAAGCAGTATTCTTGGAAATTTTATTAATGTTTCCAAATTTACGAAATTATTTGGTTCCCCATTTACGAAAGATCAATTTGTCAAAGTTATAGCAACTACTTAATTTTCAGAAACAGACACTGAATACCAAGAGAGGGGTTATAATATGGTTCAGCAAAGTGATTACAAAAGACAGAACAATGAGTCACTCTAGGTCTTTGCTCACTATTGGGCTGACTTGATTACAGTACCAAGCAGATTATAGGACTTAATATCATCTTGAAAACATGTCATTGAGAATAATTGAGAAAGCATCTCCATTTGCCTTACATTATGCTAATCATTGTCTTTCCCCAAGCTCCTTTCCAACTTCTATAAAAAAAATACATTTTAAAATAAGAAATAAATTGTATTTCAATATATTAAGATGAATAATCACTCCACTTAGTGCCATAGTTATCATAGTAACAATTCAATCTTAAGCTGTGACAGTTCAGTGTATAAAATGTAAGGTAAGCCACCTAGGATAAAAGCATCTTTTAAATATCATACCTTAGAGCACTGCATACCCACATTCTGAACTGTGTCTTGTCCAGTCAAATGCAATTTACCAAACATGATAAGAGTTTTTATGTTTAAATCTGTAACACTGAAAAAGAAGCATTTATATTGATATTGCATTTAATAACATAAGGCGACCAATTTAAAACTAAGAAAAATTTACACCAATACAAGGTCAGCATGATTTATGGTGAACAAAAACAAAACAATTTTGTTCACCAAAAACGTGGGACAGTAATATTAGGAAATGTTTCTACATATTCTATTCTATAGTCCTGTAGCCTACGTCACTATGTATGGTGGTTTTAGATTCACCTTTTGCAATATTTTCAGCAATACATACTACAAATACATTGTACTTATTTTTTCATTTGAAATGCTTTTACATCTTTTGATTACATATTTCAGCTGACCAGTTTATGTTATATTTACTGCTGTGTATCTTTTAGCATACTTTAATTATACTACACAGCACTACATTAATTAACTATTTTATGAGGATCATAAACAGTTGGCTTATACAGTTGCACAGGAATAAATTACAATTAATATGGTCACACTGCATTCTATTACTTTGTAAATAGAATTATCTGAAATACAGTACAGAATATTCCATATTCTATTCTTCTGCTGAAGGTAATGTTCTAAAGACAGCAAACATTGAATAATGGTTCCTATGATTTACAAACACATCATAACTATTACAGTGAAAGCTTATATTTTGAATTCTTAAAATTCAGTTCTTTCTAATGGGTTACATCTTAGCCCTCATTTCATTGCATTCAACGAATATTCTTTAAGACAGAAAAGTTGCTTCATAAAGTATATCTCACATACAATGAAATGTATTTGAGATACACTACTACAGGCATTGCTTGTTTGGTGTGCCTTCAAAAGCAAAAGTGGAACATGGTGTACTGTTTTTGTACTTGTTTTTTTGTTTTATAAACAGGTTACATTTTAAACCTTTAGTTGCTAGTATAAAGAAAAACAACTACAGACTCCATCTGCTGAGTCAGGCTGTACAAGTTGTGAAAATGATATAACTTTCCAATAAAAACAGTGACACCCTGTAGCACAAAAAACACTTAATGCTATCTCAACTGAGACATCTCAACGCAGGTGAAAAGCACTTACATACTTAAAAACACTTGTACTGGAAAAGAAGAAAATGAAGAACCATTAGTTTATTCTTATATTATTTCAGCGTAAGAAATTGCATAATGCTAATCATAACAACAAATCCTACAAAACTTAAATGCAAGGCACTTAAATGCAATATGGCAGGCACACCATATTACTACATTTGTACAACATTTATGCATCACCTATATTTCTCATCTCCAAAATAGAGTCTGTTATCAATTTAATTTTAGTTCCCTAAAACTGAACTATAAAAATTAATAAACTCATGTTTAATTTTAAAAAGTAAACAATGTAAGTGTATCATTGTTTAAACTACTGTAGTAATCTTGGGTGACCTTGTATTCAGTCAATCTAAAATCTTACCTATAATCACATCTGTTAACCCATTTCACAATCCGTCAGGTTGCTCTATTAGAAAAGAAATTGAGACACCCGTGTACTCACTTCAAATCGTCTCCTCCTTTACCTGTTAAATTCATTTCTAAAAAACTGCTTTGTTTTAGAATTGATAGGGCTATACCATCAATGCGGTGTAATCTGTAAACTGCACAGCAGGTTGTATCAGCTGAAATAGTGAATATTTTTGATTAACACAACTACTCACACTTTCACAAGAAATTAAAGGTCAATTTTGGTCCCACGCACTGCCAAAAAAAGCCTATGGAGAACCACCCGAGTGCTTCCCTAGAAAAAGAGCAGTATTGGTGTTTCAATTCTACATCAGCCATACAGATCTACTCTAAAGCTTAAGCATTTCTGCTTTTGTAGATGGGACTCCCCCCCAACCCTCTCTGAATACAGGTCAAAAGTAGCTACGTTTTATTAAATTTCATGATCGACGATTAAGCTGAAGTGCGCCTGTCAGGTTTCTGCTACGGAAAACTATCTCCCAACATTGTTAAAACAGCAATCAAACCAGTTAACGCAGAAAAACCATCGCACGGGAATGATCATGAAAGACAAAACGGTATCCTTTACCTATAAATAACCAACAAGCAATTTTTTTTTAAATACATACCTATTGAGAGCCCTTTAAACACTACTAAAATCTGCCGTGTCTGTGTTCTTTTTTTAACAATGAAAAGGAAACTGCCGGATTATTTCCCGTGGACACGAGGTGACCGTGTTGTACTTTTCGGAGCTTCAGGTTTATTTTTTTTCGCAGATGAGGTACTTTCTATTTGAAGAACAAAAGACGAGGCGAAATCAGGATTGGGCGACCGCTCGCAGCTACAGCTCGCCAGTGACACCACTACGGACCGCTACAGTGTATTCAGCTACGCGTAAACACGCTTCTGCACAGTCGGCCGTCCTGGATAATTGAGAAGCTAGACGTTTAATTTATCCTTACAGTCGCAGCCTATGGAGCCGTGTGAAAGAATGTGTGAGCCACTGACTTCACGAACTCCACACACAGACAGGCCTCCTCTTGTTTGCTGGGAACCTGATACGGATTTGCATGAGGACTCACAAAAGGCCGCAGCGCGAACACGGCGTTAACCCACAAACGCAATGCTGTCATGCCGGCGATTGTGTAGCGACACAATCGTTCAGTCCGGAACTCGGCTCACTATCCAGTCCTTCAACACAAAATATTTCGGGCAGCTGAAGGTTGACTTCGTTTAGCCAGATGTATTTAGATCTCCCCCCCTCCTCCTCCTCCCTCCAGGAAAATAAAAGCTCAACGCTGTGCTAAAAGCGAACCAGCGGGGCAATTGTTAACCGACGTCTGAAGTTTAAAGCTGTAACGGGAGCCTAGTTGTCTATTTTGCCTTAACACAGGCAAGACACCCAGGGCCTGCCGTTGCCAATTTCTTCCCCCGTGTTGTGTGTGATTATCTCACCTCTTTGGGTACGAGCTGGTTTTCTTCGCTGGGCACCATTTCCATTTGTCAGACAGTTTAAACAGACAGTTACCCGACCTCGGAAGTCAACAGGAAGGCTTCAACCCGGCGTACGAGATCATTATGTCGTGTGTTGTTTCGGGGCCAAGATAAAAAAAAGACCAAAACAAATAACCAGAGTGAGCGCAGTTACTTTTCTTTTCTGTTACACCACCTACAGCACAGACAGCAATCAATGGGGAAAAATGGCTGTCCTTCAGTTTCGCGAGATTTCAGAGGGACTCCAAACGTCATTTCCTAAACACGCAGGAGGATTCACGGGAATATCGGTCAACTTAGCACAATAGGTGCATCCGCAACGTGAAAACCAGTTTAGGAGGGCGTTAGAAAAGGAGATTTCAATCGTGCCTAACAGATGTACGTTGTCCTTATAGTGACCGTGCACAAAGCTGTGAGACTCGTTCGTTACCACAACTGTATACCTCACATTTACGGCTTCAATTTAGCTGTTGGTTTTCTAGTTTAATCATCATGTTTTTAATTCTGTTTTCATTTAGTTATTCTTTAATAGAATGTTATGTTTTAAAATATATGTATTGTTGCTTTGTATTTTACATGTGCTTTATACACTTACACTTCACACAGGTGTGAAAGACAAAACAAAATCCACACTTTGAAATAATATGATTCTAGTCATAGATTTCTGCTATTCCAATCAGCCATATGTTACATCACAAAACACCTTAGTTTTAGATTCCCCTCCTTCCCCGAAGAAAATCAAAATCTCAATGCTTTGCTAAAAGCAACTGCAATATCTTTGGAGGTTTGAGGTTGTAACAGGAGCCTGGTTGTATATTATGCCTTAAAAAACTCTAAAATGAATTGCTAGCCAATGTGTGGTAGTGCTCACCAAACTACGGTGTTTTGTGATTTAACAGATGGCTGATTTGTAAAACAGCAAGCATGCCTACTGTATCTCTTGATCATGATGAAAAGGACCTTTTACCGTGTTTCTTTTAGTACTGTTGGAAGATGTGAATGTAAGTCAATCATACCCCAAGAAAGAATCATACAAGTAAATCTTTTTTGGAGTTAAAGCTCTTTTTAAATGTACCTTAAGATTTCTGGAATATCCCATCTGGCTGTTCTCACGAGGATTAAAAAAATTATTGACTTTAAACTCCATCACGACTTTCTAATAAATGTAGTGCCTCCAGTGTGGTGTTTACATGACTGGACAGTGGCCAGGGGATTGAGAGCACCCCCTAGCTGTGTGGGTGGATGGGAGATCCAGGGAAGCTAGCCCAGGCAGATCAAGGGCACTCACGCATTTCCTCTGATTTGGAGAATCTGATGCACAGAGTGCTCTTCTATTTCACTGACTGCTTGCATCATATTTTAGGGGATAAAAGTAGCACTGACCCATCCTCCTGAAACTTCCAACACTCGAAACAAGCATCTGTAACGGGGGGTTTCTTGTAGCAGAGGCACCCAGAAAACTAGAGAAAACATACAGTGTCACTCTTAAGAAGTTGTTACCAATTGCGGGGCTAATCAAAAATAACTGGGCACATCTGTAAGGGCAAAACTTCCTGCTCTGAGCTCTCCTTGTGTCTCTCTGCTGAGCTTCAACCAGCTGAAGGGTGAGGTGACTGGGTGGATTATGGTAACGGAAGAATAAAGACGTGCTGTCCCAGAGGTCCTGTGCTGGGGACAGATGCAGTGCCTGGGGCCAGAAGGAGTCACAGGACATAGACACAGCTGCCAGATTCACCACCTCACAGGTGTTTGGACCGTGACTAGGAATGGCCTTAGGAGAACTGGCCTGTCTGTGGGCAACTGGACCTGGGCATATGTTGCTGTTGACAAGGGAAGAATGATAGCCACTGTTGGAAGCTAGCTCCAAACTCCACAGGGCTTTAATCACTCAGTGCATCATCCTACTGGAACTGGAACTTGAAACAACCTTAACAACAATAATAGGTAACAGGCTTCCAACAGTGTTGCTAAGTCTTTTAATAATAGCCCAGACAGTAACAATCGGCCTCTTTAAGTACATTTGTTGCACTGTACTATAACAATAACAGTGGCCGGCAGCCATATCATCCTGCAATTCACAACTGGCAACCCACTGAAGCTCAGCAGGTGTGAGCCTGGTCAGTACCTGGATGGGAGACTCCTGGGAAAAACTAAGGTTGCTGCTGGAAGAGGTGTTAGTGGGGGGCCAGTAGGGGGCGTTGACCCTGTTGCCTTTGTGGGTCCTAATGCCCCAGTGTAGTGTAATAAATCCCAGGGTATTTCTCAAAGAGAGTAGGGGTGTTACCCCCATTTCCTGGACAGATTTCCCCCTGACATTTAACAATCACGGCCTCCTAATAATCCCCATCTTTGAATTGGCTTCATCACTCTGTTCTCCTCCCCACTAAGAGCTGGTGTGTGGGGAGTGTTCTGGCACACTATGGCTGCTGCCGCATCATCCAGGTGGGGGTGGAGGGTAGTCCCCATTTCATGTAAAGCGCTTTAAGTGGAGTGTCCAGAAAAGTTGATATATAAGTGTAAAGAAATATTATTAGTAACAGTAGAAACTTTGTTGCTTGTCCACCAAATAATAATCTTCATTGTAATCCATCTGTACTGCACTAGATGGAGCTCTTACACTATTAAAATCCTTCATGCCTCCTCCCACCTTCCCTCACCAAAAAGTGAGTTGCATCTTTAAATATGGAACAAGTAAAGGTTTATTTTATGCCGAAAAGAGAAGAAAGGAAACACAACGTTTCAACTGTGGAGCCTTCTTTGGGTGTGAGGGCCGAAATGTTGTGAAGGCTCAGCAGTTCCTCTATTTCCTGAGGTGCCTCAAGCGCTGGGGGGTGCCAGTACCTGTGTTGGCGAACTTCTACCGCTGCATCATCAAGAGCATCCTCACCAATGGGATCACTGTGTGGTACGGCCACAACTGTTCTCGAGAGAGAAAGGCACTGCAGAGAAAGGTGAATGTGGCCAAGAAGATCATCAGCTGTGGTCTCACAGAGATTAAACAGCTCTATGAGGACCGCTGCCGTGGTAGAATTCTGGCCATCATAGAGGACAGTCACCACCCCGGGCATGAGCTCTTCACCCCACTGCCCTCAGGCACAAGATATAAGAGCATATGGACATTAGATTCTCCAATAGCTTCTACCCACAAGCAGTGCTATTGGCGAACACATTTGGCCATGTCCATTGGACCACACCCACACCATCTACCTCATTATAATTTCTTATTTATTGCACATCTGCAGTCATTGTTTACATGTCTGCATTGTTAACATGAAAACTGTTTACTTGTTTACTTGTACATTGTCTACTGTTTCTTTGTATATTGTCTTGATACACTGTCTGTACTTTGTGTTTTTACACTTTTTAACAATCAAGAGACTTTCTGTAAGTAAGAATTCTATTGTGCCAGTACATGTACTGCTTACATATGGCAATAAAGTTCAAGTTTCCTTTCTTCCCTTTTCAGCATAGAATAAACCTTAACTTGTTCCTTTGTAGTCTACACATACTGACGTAGCTACCTACTTGAATATCTTTAAATATGGTTCATTTACATGTACAGTATGTGCCTGTAACATGGAGATTTACCTAGACTGGTTACTTTTTACTTAATTCTGCAATTTCCCTCATGGGATCAATTAAGTATCTATTTTTATCAATGTTTTATCAAATGTCCATAAACCTAACTAATATCTGCTATAAAGATGTGATGGATGAAGATATTTTTTTGCTGATGATGTTTGGAGTTTCATTATTAATCATAACAACAATCATACAAACAAATATGAAGATATTCTGACCAGGGCAATGTAAAAATTACAGTGATTTTCTTAAGTCTGATATTGATAATCATAATCAACATTTTCACACATTTATTTTTTTTAGGGGGTGGCAGGGTAATTAGATTGTTTTGTACTAAAGTCTTGAAGTACAACTGAAGGTCATATTTTGGATGGAAGTTAAGGCATATAAATCACCATTTAAAACTGAATACACAATAATATTTTAAAGTTAATAACAACTTTTGATATTTACACAAAAAGTTGCAATTGGTTTTCATGTACCACATAAACCTAAAAAATAAAGCAACAGCAAGTAATGAGAAAATAAGGTTTACCAAGGGATTAACATTTTCTCCGCATGCTTGAATCCAGAAAAGCCTTGTCTAACCTCAATCCTACAATATATATACAGTATTTTCCTATATATTTTCAGTGTATTCTATTAGAATGCATAGAAATGTGTATTACAGTACCTATAATACTTTTTAGGCTACATATTTTTGGAATATAATTGAATGAATATGTCCAAATATATTATTCGAAATAATCAATAATTCCTTACACTTATAACTCCACTCAATGTATTATATTGTGACAAAACGTTTTCAAAGATAATATCTGGTTCTCATTAACCTGGTGAACAGGATAGTTTGTTAACAGGTGTCATTCACAGGATGAACTGGGGGGAAACATTGTTAACTTTCTCTTCAGGAGAAAGTTAGACGTGCGGGTGTATAATACAGTATATCTAAATTACTGAAAGTGTCCCCAAAATAAAATAGCTCGAACACTTGTAAAGTGTGACTCAAATTCAAAATGACAGTCCTGTAGCTATGACTGTGTTTAAGACTTTGAAAAAGGATGAAAAGATTACACATCTCTTATGCTTCATGCTTTTTCTGCATTTTGGAAATCTATTGTTATTTGTTCTTTTGTTTTCTGAAAAGGTGTGGCAGCATTTACTGGAAGGTCACACTCCATTTAGTTTCACTGCATGGGATTATCGGAAAGAAAGTTATCCAAAACAGACATTGCTTCATTCCTGAAAGGACTGTATGAAGAACTGTATAAATAACTTAAATAGACTATGCTAATGTACTTATCATTTCCATTGAAAAGATAATTGTGTTTGTATTTCCTAAACTAGGGGTACGTCATGGGTAACTTGGAAACTAGAGGCTGAGCAAGGAGAAAAGACGAGAAACACAATGTTGAAAGTTCACGATCTTGTGTGGCAATTTCTGCCATGTTTGTGAAAATTATAACAAAAACGTGTCCTGAACAGTGTTTTCAAGGTTGATTGCCAGGATAGTTAAAAAGCTGTGGTCATATAATATAAAACTAAGTCAGCAATAAACTGATGCATAATGAACACTCACGAATCTACATTTACATCAATAGCTGATTGGGCTCATGCGCATTGCTATTTACATTTTAAATAGTGAGCAGACAGGTTTGCTGATTGAGTACTATTGTTCCTTGGCAGAGCAGAAGTCATGTGATTTCATAGAAAATGCCAAGCACTCAGTGTTTTGCTGTTGAAGATTAATTGAAATAATCAAAATGAGTTGATGCATTTAGTAAGTAGTAATTCAAGAAGACATCATTTTAAATCACACAAGAGTAGGATGAGACACCACCATGGTTCCTGAGATTATGAAAATTGCTGGTCAGCATGATTAAAGAGAGTGTGTCTTGCTCCCTGAGATAACGTTATCTGAGCAATGAGTGGATACAATTCAACATACAGCAGATTAGTTCAGAGAAACCAGGAAACTGAGTTTGTGACGGGCAGGCCATGTCCTGAAAGGCAGATCACCACTACACAGACTACAGTGGCAGTAGAATGGGAAAAACATCTGCAGATAGGAGCAAAAAGGGGCACAGGCTGATTAGGTTTAGATGTTTAGATGTTTATCTTCATAATGCTTTGATTTCGTATCCTAAACTTATGATGATTCTTTCATCATTAATGTTTTCTGTGTTTAAAAGGTTCGATTGTGTTGTGTTTGTTGTTTGCGTGACAAATGAATTGCTCAAAGGAGCAATTCTGTCTCCAGAAAGTGACAAAAAATACTTCAGATTCTTTGGCTCCTAACCTTTTTCATGCCACGACTTGCCTAATGTTCGGTTTTACTTTTTATTCTGGCCTGGGGCACAACTACAATAAACTACTCTTGAGTTTAACAGGTAGCATAATACAAGTCGCTTCAGGGGAATTTCATCCGTAGCTAAGAGGGTGTAAATCACACTGAACATAAATGATAAATTCTCCTCACCTACTTCAAAGACGTTGCCCAGTGATTTTTCCATCCCAGGACGCCATCCTGGCAAAAGGTTTGGAACATTGATGATTCTTTCCTCTTTTCAACAGACCCTGTTCATCCAGCTGCAACTCGGAGAATTCTATAGAACACAACCTGAAGTCATAGGGGGTGACGTCTTTTGTCCTTCTCATTATCCACTCTCCCTCATATACAGCTGTCAATATGCTCACCTAGTATCCTCACATACCAGCAACAAAGAAAGAGGCTTCTTAGCAAGTCAACTCTGCATGTTTCGCAGTTCTCATTGCTTCGAAGGGCCCAGTCCGCACTCCTGCAGAGTGTCAGGAAGGCAAGGGAAACGGAACCTGCTCGTGAACAGGACACTCATATATGTACTGTACGTAGCAACCTGCATTTTAAATGTATTGTGATTCACTCACATTCTCTAGTCCCACAAGGGAATTTTTAATATAAAACTGACCACCAAAAAAAGGAAAGGCATAGTCTCAGAACATGAGGTTACAAAATACTATTATTTATATAATAAAGTATGGGTGGCACAGTGGCACATTGGTAAGCTTTGCTGCTTCTTGGGGTCTTGGATTCAGTTTGTGGGGTGCTGTCTGCATGGAGTTTGTGTTTCTCTCTGTGTTTGTGTGGGTTTCCTCTGAGTACATCAATTAGCTTCTGGGAAAATTGGCCCTGTTGTGAGTTTGTGCATAATTGTCACTGCAGTGTCCCATCCAGGGAGTATCCTGCCTTGTGCCCATTGCTTTCTGGGATAGGCTCTGGCTTCCCCATGACCCATGACATGACCATTGGATAATGCAGTTAGAAAATGGATGTATAAATATAATATAATTATTATGTATAACAATAACAAAAATCTAAAGCATTCCTTATGAAACAGTGTAACTACCATATCTTAAGAAATGTTCAAATCAATCATTAACAGTCATTAAAGAAAGCTGTTTTTTATGGAAACATTCTAAACTGATGGTACTTAGAACCCTAACTTCTAAAAAATCATCAATCATGTGTTGTCCTCTAGAATCCTTTGCAATTTATCACCCCATTGCTAATATCTTGATATGTACCTCTACTGATCATAGTTTTACTATTAACAAATTGCATTGTTATTGCTTCAATTTTCTATGTAGAAACCACTATTGCATCCATAAAAATAAATTTGTCTAATGAAGAAGTATCCTAAACTCTTTAATGCCTTGGATATTCTTTGTAATCGCTTTAGTTTGAGCGATTAATTTCCATACAAATTGTAGCCATAAAACACAACAGCATAAGAAAGGATACAAATGAAAGGTGACCATCTGGCCCATATAAACATACTGTAGTCAGTTGCTAGTAGCTAACTGAGCCTACGGTCTCACCTGTTCCTTTTTCAAAGCATACCAGCTTTAACAACATGGCTGGATAGCTTGATCCAGACTCCCAAAACAAAGAGTACCCTGTTATCTTTCGTTACCTTTGTTACAGGAGTCTTACATTTTGGAATACTGGAAATACCACATGAAACATAAAAACATTTTCCCTAAACACCCAGTACAATGGAAGAAAAAAAGGACAATTGTGTTTTTATGTGACACATTTGAGCTACGAAACTAAGCAAAAACACTACCAGGTTTTTTGCTATCTTCATGTTCTGTATTGATTATGTTCTTGTATCCACACAAACAGACTGAGATGCATAGCTGGAGAGGGAAAGGCAAATTGTGCAGCAAAAATGTTCTAGTAATTAATAAAGGAACATGTTGTTAAGATGTGGCCAAATTATTTAAGGTGTGGTTTAGTTATGAAAAATTATTTTGCACTTGCCTTGAGAATGCAAATGATGCAAAACATTTCTTAGAGGTTCTAAACACTCCTTTTATTAAAAGCCCAAACAATTTAAAGTTTCATTATGATAGGACAAACATTTTCTTTTAGTCATGTCAACAGTTGAAGTTTCATTTGTCCTAATGTAATTTATGTAATGTCCTATTATGAGTTATAGGAGAGATTTATACAGTAAGTGATTTTTATATCTTAATAATAATAATTATAATTCATAACTTGAAATACTAAGCACCAATTTTCTACACTTTCTACACTGCTTTTAAAAAATGCTATAATATTGTATAGAATGTGTAAAGATATGTAATAAAAGACATAAAATAAAAAAATAGAATTATTAGAAAAAATTGCAGTACTTGGGCTTAATTTAGAATAATGATTGTAGCATTCTGTTTACAGCACCAAATGTTGGCCAAATCATTATTATATATGTTCAATATGTTGGTATAGTCATTATTCAGAACATAACCAAATATTATAATATACATAAAACACCCTTATATCTACAGTTATGCAATTAGATATGCATAATATAAATATTATAAAATATGATCAGAAGTAATATAGAATAGAATATTAAAATATTATAGAAATATGATCAGAAAGGTGATCAATGTTGTATTCATGAGACAGTAAAACATACAATAGGCAAAAATATAATCACTATATTAGACAATCAAAACAAGTTAACACTGGGGGATGTGTAGAAAAGTTTAGATTTTTAAAACATCTATACATAATAAAACAATATGTTTTGTTAACACATTTTCACTATAGAACTTTAAACATGTGTGGTTCTACTCTAATTATGTTAACTGTCTGTAGTGATTTAACTCAGCTAGCACTTACTTGGTTGCTAAAGCTATGGAGCATCCTGAGTTTCATCCTGAATTTCAGCCCTAAATTCTGCTTTATGCAGTCATATTTTATGAGGTTTATTTTTCTCTTCACCTCTTAACCATGTTCTTTTCTTTTTGAAGACGATCAGAAAAGCAATTCAAGACATTCTTTAGAAATAAGAAAGTATTGATAGCAGCATTACTTTGTTTGGAGGTTCCAACAATTGCATTACCACTCATTCAGTATTGGGAAGTAAATTATCTGGGAGAGGAGTTCACACAAGCTGGAGCCCATATGGGGAACTTGTGGTGCCATTTATCTGAAGTTACCTTACCGTGCTCATTCTGTGTTAATGCAAAGTCTTTGTAAAAAGTATGACAATAGGGGGAGCGGAGTGGTGGCTCTGTGGCTCAGGATCTGTGCCTGTGGCTGGAAGGTTTCCAGTTCAAATCACTTGGCCAGCAGAGGAATCCTACTCCATTGGGCTCCTGAGCAAGGCCCTTAACCCCAACTGCTCCAGGGGCACAGTACATTGGCTGACCCTGCGCTCTGACCACCAGCTTCTTTCTGTTTGTGTGTCTGTGTGTCTCATGGAGAGCAAGCTGGGGTATACGAAAAAGACAAATTCCTAACACAAGAAATTGTATATGTCTAATAAAGTGATCTTATCTTATCTTAATATGACACATGAAGTGTTTGCCTGTGCAATAAAAACATCTAGCAAGGAGAACAAATGGAAGAAGAAGATTTTATTTAACATTTTATTAATTCAATTAATCACAAAGAAAGTATAGTAACTCCAGAAACACAGTCCATATAAAGGAGTGAGAAATAAAAAAGTCATTAAGCTTATATCACTTTTTCTTATGTGTTTTAGCTCTCAGTAATAAATCTGAAGAAAAATCATTGGCGTATGTGCTACAGAAACTTCAAAATCAGTACGTAAACAATAAAACAAACCGCCATCTGTGCCACGTGTGGGATCAAAAAATGCAATAAAAATATTTTAAAAAATCACTTTATACTGCATTGGAACTATTAAGACTCACATGCAAACTGCAAAACAATATGTGCTTAGAATGATTAAAACTACAACTCTTCAGGGGCTCTCCATTATACTAGATAAAGCATATAGGCTTTAAATACAATATTATCATTCTCAAAAGAATCTAATGTCCAAAAAGAGCAACATCTTAAAACACATTCTCATGGGAGTTGCATGTTATATAGGGACCTTAATTTAAGACATTCATTGTATTTAGGGATTAATATTTATTGTTCAGAAATAACAGTAAACTACTTCCTGGTATGGGAAATACTGTCACGCTAAGAAGCAAATTGAGAACACTAATGATAGTCTTCAAAAACAACCCATTTCTCAAAATCTATTCAGAGCATTCTATAGGACATTTAAACCGATGAGGAAATAGAAATGCATCTATGTACAGCACAGCAATTATGTTAATATGAAACCACCAAGTATAATTTTCCCTCTTTTAAGATTGACAGTAAATTGCCTTTGATCAATTATTGTATGATTATACTAAAGTATGTTTTCAATATAAGAAAGCTGCATGTAGCTTTTACTACATGTCGATTGTGTCTCAGACTGCTGTTCAGAACTTTAAAAGAAGATTAGAAGTCGGATGTGGGCAGGACTTCATATCTGACCCTTGACACCCTGGCTTTGTAGACAACTGTTCCACACACAAGGACAAGTGCAATCAGGAGAGTCCCCATGATGAACACAACATTCAGGTTCAGGTTCAGGTTCAAACTGGAGGCTGCAAAAAGGGGGATAAATGGTGCTTTAAATTTGAATCTTATGTCAGGAATATGCAGTCCTGGTGTTTTTGCAACTTTATTCCAGTTCAGCTCTTAATGATTATTAATCATTAATCATTAGCTGCATTATTAGCAGATCAGCTTATTACTGGTCTCAAGAACTTGTCCCATGCTGGTGCTTTAAAGAAACACAGAAATCCTGTAGATAAACTGGCTCTCCAGACACAGAATTAGACACACCTATACATTATACATACTGTAAGCTTTTGTCAATGCAGAATGGGAAACAGCCTTTACAGGAAAAGCTGCAACACCTCCAAATCTTTATTTTCAGTATATTTCAAACCGAAAAATTACCTCACAAGATTTTGTTTGTACAGTAGTTTATGAATACTGTGAGGTTGAATCTAACCATACTTTCATCCCATGTTTTGCACTTTTTTTTAAACAAAATAATGAAGTTCTCACTGAAGCGACTTTTTAACTGATTCTTTTAGTTCATATCCAAAGTTACCTGCACTGCCAGTGCTCCTGGTTAGGCGCACAGGCCCCTGGGAAATGTAGTGTCTGGCAGTCTGTGAAGCCACTGCTCTCCTGTGAAGGTGATGCCCATGAGAATTGGAAGTGCCATTGGTACAGCCCTGGGCACACCTGGTGTAGGGGTTGCCAGCCTGGCACAAGATGACTGTGCAGCTGATGTAAACCTTAAATCACACAAGGGCATAGACGGTACTGAATAACAGTGAAATATCAAAAAGAATACCTGAAAAACTCAGTTGAAAAAAGTTACAAAAGGTGCATTTACATCATGTGCTTTTTTCTTTAAGAGGTATTTTTGACTTATGAAAATGTATTGTATTTTACTTAACCTCTTTTTTATTGTCTTTCATTGTATAATTACTGTAAGTATGAAAATCACTTAAACGTACATTAACAACATACAGCGGGAATAAATATTTAGATATGGTAACATCTGTTTTCATTCAAAAAATTTTTGGAAGCTTAATAGTCATTATTTTTCTTGTCTTCCATTAGCTTTTTAAATTACATTGACATCAAGGTAAGATCTTTTCATCTCAATCTGTATATTTCAATATATTCAATTCAATACACTGTTGTGCTATAAATGTGATTGTCTTTCTTACCTCTTCAAATTGGCCAATGAAGGCAAAAGCTTCCATTCCAAACCTGTACTCTGTCTGGTTACTCGGGAAGACCTGAACTGTGCTATCTTGAATACACCTAAAAATACAAAGCAAATATGTTTTTATATTAAATTAATCACAATTATGGTTTTTATACCACACAATCTACAAATAAATGAAAAGGAGAAACAAGATGTGATTTGCTTAACCAGCCTCTGACCATATAATAAAACAAAATGGCAGCAGAATTTTTTGGAATGAAATTTACGAATTGCTCCATTACAGAATCTGCTCACACAGGTGTTGGTTCAACAATTGAACCCTTCCCCAGCTATGCATAGGTGAGGAATGTACTGTATGATTATCCAGTAACTCGAGAGTTTTGACATAGAGCTCAGCTCTTGCTTCACAACAATGGACTGGCAACACAGCCGATGCAGAGCTATTCTGCTGATGTTCTCGTGCTCCACTCTACCAGCCCTTTCAACTTCCTGAGGCAATTAAACTCGACCACCAAGAGCAGCTGCTTACCCCTTATCTGAAGAGAGCAACTATTCTGTTTGGGAAGAACCATGACCTCCAATTTAAAGAAGGCTCAACATAACAATGTGAATCTAGAAGCCTGTGATTAAGGACTCGGCTAGAGCGAAGCAACAGAAAGGCATGGGGCTCCCAGGAACATCCCTGAGACCCTCTCCTCTACAATTCTGCAATGTTTCACACAGGAAAGATTGCAGACGTCTTTCCTCACAGTTCCTCTCAACCTCCAATTTTATTTGCTTACCCATTTCTGATGATGTCATAGAATACGGGGTCATTGGGGTCGTCATGAGGAGTCGCTCTGCAAGACTCCACAAACAGCTGGGTGTTGGGAAGAGATGATGTCGCCACAATGTCCATGTAAATCATCTGCTGCAGTTCGACTGTCACTGGGTAAGACCTGGAGTCGATCATTCTGTTGTACAGATCGGAGCTGAAGAGCTCAAACTGATAGGTGAACCTGCCGAAGCCAGACTCCGTGAACACGTAGGGAATCTTGTGCGCTTTGAACTCGAAGGACACGTTACCCATCTTGGGGTAGGAGCAAGAGAATCCAATCTCTACCAGATGCTTCCTGGTTATGATGTCGTTTAGGTTATCAAATGATGTAATCTCATTTTTGAAAATAAGATATTCGGAATCTTCCTGAAAATATAATGAATACAAAAATAATTAGACTGTTTATTAGAAATGTTTCTGAAGCAATAAGGTGCTTGAAATAAAGGTGCTGCAATAAAAGTTGGAAACATTTTAGATGATGTAAAATAATTTATATTCTGTTTCAAAATTGTACTTTCTTTATGCTAACTGAGAGACACTGTATTTGGGAAAAAAGATCAGAAACAGTAATTACCTCAAGCTGTGTTCCACAGGAGTGAAGTGACATTATTGCAACTACATGAGTGTCGTTGGAAGTCAGTGTACATGAGGGGTCATTGAGACGTAAATGGCTTTCATGAATTCCTCTGACTGAAGACTTGAGCACAGCAATTTTCATGGTGTTCTCAGTGCATTCAATGTCAGCTTCACCTGTTCAATGCAAATTTTATTTGTAAACACCACCGTGCAGTATCATATGATGTAATTTCACTTTGGAAAACAAGATATTCATTATCTTCCATCAAACACATTGAATAAAAAAATAATTGCAAATTGAACTTGTGGATTGAACTATTTTTTGTTAGTGTGATATTTACAATACGATGTATTTTAACATTAATATATACAACCATTTTTTCTGACATAAAAGAAAAGAAATTTAAAAGTACCACTTGAAAGTATGCCCTCATTTCGGCTATGGTACTATATGTATTGCCACAAATCCTTTTGCTTTCTCCAATAACAGTACTCACCAGCGCTTATTTGATTTCTTCCAACAAAGACAACAACACATCTCAGTTCAGACTGGTATCTAAAGAGATCAGTTAATGAAATGAATTTAAAATTAGCATTTAAAATTAACATTAACCTTAGCACTTTTTAAATTACCTTCAATAACTGATTATGTTGAATAATAATAAAATATAATAATAACATTAATAATAATAATAACATGGCAAACGTATGTACTGTGTGTAGTGATAGTTAATCTCTTACTCACCCATCTGTGGTCTCTGCAGTAAAACAAATGGGCACATGATCATTTAAGTCATTTTCAGTTGGAGTCCATTTTATGAATGCTTGTCCGATTCTGGATCTTTGGTCATATTGGAATGACTTTGTTATATTCAGAGGCCCACTGATCTTGATGTCATATATCCTTTGGAAGATTAAATAAATATGTAAATAAAGAGCTTTGATATTTATTTATTTTTTTTATTTTAAGCATCCTAACAGACATTCATAAATGTTCAAAAGTTGCTATTACAGTCCCCTTTTAAATTCCACATTGTTTGCAAGCTGTTCTGAACAGCCACAGAAACCATGATTTGGAATAATTGATTTTATGGGGTGACAAAAGAATCACGAACGAGTCTCTCAGTTTGCTTAGTTAAAAGATTGATATCCTGTGGTGTTGATGAACACAAATATCTACAATTGACAATTGCAATCTAGAACTGCCAATTGATTCTTACATAGTGGTTCAAACCACTGGCTTCTCTACCAACAGTGGGAATGAGGATGAGCAAATACTGTAGGTTCCACTGAGCCTCAATCCTTTTCCCTTTTGACATACCCCAAGCTCTGTAAAGGTTAAAGGGCATTTAGTACTTAACAGAGCAGAGGTGCTGGGGCGTGAGACAACTCAAGGGTATTGTTTCACAAATTTGAACTGCCTTCCTGTTTCATAAACAAAATAGACATAATGTCTTACGTTGTGTAGTTTGCTTGTGCTCTAATGCTGATTTCAAACTCATGATCCACGGAGGCATTCAGAAAGGCACCGTGGGCTGGGGTGGGAGACAGGAGCTTGGGTCTGTAATCTCCAAATGTGCAGGAAGGCACATCGTTATCAACTGAAATCAACGGAAAACAAGAAATCTAAAATGAACCTCAACTTCAAAGTTAGATCTAAATGAAAATACATTGAGCTAAAAAAACAATTGCATTATTTTTCAAAACAAAAGAGTTGTGTATTGACCCCTTACGCTGAAGATAAGTATACCGTGATTACAGAATAAAGAACACGTCTGTATGTCTGACAACAACAAATTCTTGTCAGAGATTTTTGTTGTGTTTCAATTAACACAATGGCAGATGACTACAGGTCCCCCCCGTCATTGTCATTGGCCAAGTATGAAGTTTTGTTTCTCCTTGCATTCAGACTGAAGTAAAAAAAAAAAGAGAATGAACCCACTACCCTACATGAAATAGTTCCATAGAAAATAATGGACTATTTGTCTTAATTCTAATTTATTTGTTCTAATTTAAGGAAAGGGTTTGGAAATACATACCTTGAACAACAAATTGTAAAGGAATCTTACTCAGGGGCGGACTGAGAAGGGAACGGGAGTATGGTGTGGTTGTAGTAGTTGGGGATGGTGTGGTTGTTGTAGGCCACCACCCCCAGTTTGAGGCTGCTGTGGTAGTAGGTTCAGGGGTAGTAGTAGGTGCTTGTGTTGTTGCTGGAAACCACCACCCCCAGTTTGAGG